ATACATTATTACTCTTGTTCAGTAATTAATTAAAGTTGTATTTATTCTGGTATCAGTGACTTTACACCGGTGAGCTTTTACGGGTCAGGCGTTAAATCGAATGCCATATGAAATGTCTTTAGTTTTTTGCTTGAGAATACCTGCCGTGTAATATATCCTGTTCAGTGATGACATGTACGTATAATTGAACATTAATTAACATTTTAAATTGTCTTAAATTATCATTTAATTTACATGTAAACGCTCACACCTTCATTCGGCAAATGAGGCGAAATATCGAGGGCTGTAAAGGCCTCTGAGTTTATGAAGAAACCCAAAAGCTTCTAGAATATGTTTTTCTCATTAAACGGCGTCTAGTATAACAAAATAATGATGTCTCAGTTTTTTTCAAGGAAGTGAGAGGGATGACCAAAATGTTATTAACACGTTTAGGCCGCGCCAGCCATCGGTGGCTGACAGCGTGTAACATTAGAACAATAAAATTTTACACTATTTTGCGGAATTACACAATTTTTTGACGGTTTTACGGAATTTGTACTGCGATCGGAAACACCGGCCCTTTAATACCAGTGCGTACAAGCGGCGCTCGTGTCCTGAACGGGATTGTCTTAGAAATACGCGTGGCGCTCAACGTGTTAAAGGTACGTGTTCATTGCACCAGACGAACTGCACGCACTGATAAAACGGATTGGTTTTGTCTTTCGAAGCGGGCGGCGCGGATGATGGACGCAGTGTTATGTCAAATCATACAAAGCAAAGTAAAATCCGTTGCAGGCGGTGCGTGCAGTGCGTGCGTCCGGCGCGGGCCAATGGACCTTAAATGTTTCGGAAATGTTGGGTCTACTAAGTACATTATGTATAAAATACAAATAAGGAAATACATTAAAAGAGCGATGTTCTGCAAACATTTTGCATATCTTATTTTATTTTAAATAGTTATAAAATTCGATTTATATTTATAATATCTTTTTATATAAACTAACGATGTAAATACAATTAATTTTAAAAAGGATGACGACTAAAATGACGAATGAAAGGTCGATCTGGGGACGAAAAGAGATAAGACCGATTGATTTGCAACAAAGCAAAAAAAAGCGCATTTTATGCTAAAATTTTAAATTTACTTAGGTACTTAGTACACAAGGCAACGTAAATCTTTGAAACACGGCGGTAAGGGTCGGTAAGGGACTTACGCAATTAAATCTCATAGGGTTTCTACACAAGCACGCGTCCCCGACATATACTTTAGTCGCCACAACCAGTCGCTCGCTACCTGTGTGTTAATGTCGTCGTCAACAAGTCGCTGTGGTTTTAAAGCTAGAGCAAATCTGTACAGTTGACATATATCCGCTATGCATAACTGGAAGAATAAACAACTCGAGTCGACGATTCAAAGTTGTGTATACGGAACGCGTGCAATGCGATACTCGCGACGCAATATTAGTTACGAAGATTTACGATGCATAAAAGGCCTAACAGCGATTTTATTGTGCGATTTCGCACTCAACTATTAGTATTTTAACGTAATTATTCCAATATTTTGTCGTTCTGATGGTCCATCAAAAAGCTATCAAGGCCGGAAGGACACGCTTCATAATCTCATCTTCATATAATGTAACTAACACAATTTAACTAAATTTTTATTATTGTATGATTGCTTTGCTCTGCTTGTAATCTTAGTCTGTACATGTAATGACTACTGATTGGAATGCTTCTTTTTTTTAGTTTTTTATTACCAGTTTAATTATCCTATACTTACTAGTTTTCGATCTATAGGTTAAAATTTAACTTCTATTTTTTTTGTTTAACCCTACACTTTAAAAAGTGTAGTTTACTTTTAACACAACACAGTTGAAATTACAATAAGGTTAATTAAATTGTGAAAGTTCCTTATATTTAAATGAAATATAAACTAATAAACAAGACAGGACATTAAAACAATTAGCATTATTGCTATTTTTTTGCAAACGAGCGAGCGACCACCTGAAATCGCTGAAATAGCGAAATGACCGTTGCACATAGACAAACGCAATTGCATATGCGTTGCCTACCTTTAATCAACGGAGGAGAAAATGCACAGAAAGAAAATATATTCCCTTTCCATGCATCCTCTCATCCGGAAAGTCCACTTCCACTTCCCGTCCTCTCCTTATAAGAAAAAGGGTGGGAAGGGAAAGATGACTAAATTAGGCCTCCGGGACGCACAGTCATCGGACGAAACGCGGAATAGCTTCCACTTCACGCCTGTCTTCTATGTGGTCGTGGTATTTCACCGGGCGAGCCGGGCCAATTCGTGCGAAGATGTTAAAGCGGGCTCTACCACTTATAAGATTTATTTTTTTGAATTCGAACCTAAAGCACAAAAGAAGGTAAAAACTCTAACCCCTGATCCGTAGTAACTTTTCATTGCTCCCCGGAAATAATTGCTGCGGGGAATCTCTGTGTTGATGCATTTAATTATCATATGTGATGACACTTTCCTTTTAGTATTCGTTAATGACTCCTTTTTATGGTTATACGATTTTAATGTGTTGCTTTTACACGGAATTCTGCGTCTAGGGTTGTCAAATTATATTATATTGAACTGTTTTATTGCTCTTAAATAGAGACCCGTTGGTTACCAAATACATTCGGTGTTTTCGATAGTTGAGAGTTCATTAATTAAAGAAAATATTTAACAGCACTAGTAACTGATATTACATAGTAACATTTTGAAATGGGGTCTACGACACCTACGATAAAGCCTGAGATACCTGTCCTAATGTCTCCTTTGGCCTCTTAGTTTTTTTTTTGACAAGTAAATTAAATGTATGGAAAAGAAGCTACTTTATTTATGTACTAGTTGACGGATTTATGAGAAATGTTGTATTATGATATTTAAATTTTGTCATTTAGCGACTGGCAACCCTATAACTTTGCTACAAATATATCGTGTAATTGACCTTGTAACAGAACTCTTTTATGTCTGGGGTCGAATTTTTTCGATCCATTTCCGAATAAAGAATTTTGATATGGAGATGTCACAAGTTATGACCCTAGCCCTAGTGGACCTGCGCTCATTTTAACGTTGACGTCGCCGTCAGATTGTAAACAATGTTTTAATGTCACTAACACAAACGACGGCATATTTTATAGTGAAAAAGTCATTGACAGGCTATATTTTAATACAAAATAATCATCCATCCAAAAAAAACTTAAGCAAGAAAATGCAAGTAAAATATTCAAGCATAATTTGTCAATTTGACTTCGATAAAATCGTTTATAAAGTCCCATAAAGTTATATGCAAATGCATGGCGGTTTCAATGTTTTTAGGGAGATAATAAACTGACAATGTTCACAATGTATCGGTGACATGGTTGCTCTATTTGCGAAGTTCTATATCCCAACAGTCTTGTCTCATTGTTAATTCTCGACTATTTCAATGCAAATATTTAAGTTTCCTCATCGAAGACAATTGCTTCAAAATATACTTAAGTGTAGTCACATAAATGAAAATATTATTATTTATTAATTTATTAACTCTTAATGCTATCATAATACATAACAAAAATGACAATTAACTAATTTACAAAGCAAGGGCGGGCTTATCGCTACAAGCGATCTCTTCCAGGCAACCCAGTGGGACAGGAAAGAATAACATAGAAAGAGGGATATATAACATATAAATATCAGGATATGTCAAGAATAAATAAATAAGAGCAATAATTATTAAAAATATATATATACTAGTTACATATAGATATACTAAACAAATTAAGCAACATAAATATATAATATACATGAATACACTAACCTATGAATACAAATATATAAATTATAGGAAAGCAGAAAAATAAGCTTAGCGAAAGGCTTTATTTAGATTTATTAGATATATTTAGAAATATATTATTGATGTTTTTATTTGATCGAATTACAGAGTAGCAAAGAAATTTTAATTTAAGCAGATTATTATAATATCTTGTAACCATTCCAACTAAACTTTAAGATTGTGATGGGATGGTACACGATAAATTGAACGTCCGTAACCATTGGACTTGTGGGAAGTTTATAGCTCACTTCTACGGCTGTATAGCTTACGCGATTGTGGCTTATTTCCATGTTGCTGGTATAGGTAAAGTTTGTGACAGACTAAGAATATATTGGGGCGCAACCTTGACAGTGGTGAGGTGACGAACCCCGTCGGGTGACGTATGATCGTATTACACGTCGGTTCCGTATGTTTTGCATTTTATGCGCGTGCCCGCACCACAATGGAATATTCAATCACTGTTTTTATTTACATGTTACTGGCCAAATGGCGCGGCAATGTGGTTACAAATATCAGCTGCTTAAAACTTATGATTTTCATGGTTTAAACAAGAGTTTGTACAAAAATACATTGTGTGTATGCAAAATTTCGCACTATCTTCGTGACATTTTGTGCTTAAAAGGGATGATATTTTTATGCATCTGGTTAATTGCTATTTATTTTTACGCATGTGCTTTTAGCTGCTAATTATCTAGAAGTGATTTCTTCAAAACGATTACCGAACAGAAAGTATCAAAAGAGGAATAATTGAGACAGTCGAAAGAATTGCCAGAAATGTTGAGAATAAATAAAATTAATTAAAATTACAATTCAATATCGTTGAATTGTTGTTTCTACGTAGTGGTCATTTTAATATCATATACTTTTCTTGGTAGCAACAAATGATTGTCACTTGTTAATTCATGATTATTATATACGATGAATGTTGAGTTCGCTTTTGTATCGTCCGGCCTTGCACCTTCCTCGAAAGTTGTCCACTGAGGAAATGTCAGCCTCCGCAATTGCAAATCCACTTTCTATACCATTCATGATTGCACCGTGAACAATTATAGTTTAATTAAACTAGCTTATCAGACACTTTTGTTTGTTCACTGTTAAATGTCACTCCTATGATTAACAATAAAGTGTTTAAGAGTCTGTAAAAAAGGCCATTGACCATCGCATATATTTATTCTAATAACATTTCTTCAGGCAGTCACAAAAGAAGTGGCAATGGTCCCGCCCATAGTGGTGCCGGATGCCGCGGCGGAGGGTGAACGCACCGAGCTGCTGGGCTCAGTGACCACAGTGCAGCAGCAGCGCACCAGCGCAAGGGTCATCAAAAAACTGAGGCTCGAACCGCCCGCAGATAAAAGAGGCAAGGTCAAAACTCATTACTGCAACACTACCGGTAGCATCTCGTCGCGGCTGTTTACGTGTGGATGACGAGTGAACGCCGAGTAGAAGAAGATACTAATTGATTTTCTGGTGATTTTTTCCAGAAATTTCAGAATGTGAAACACCAAGCAAAGACGTTGATAAAGAACCACCGCCGTTCCCCACGGTGAAGCAACGTATGCCGAAAGCGCTCTGGTCCGCGGACGAAAAGAGCCTGTTTTTCGAAGCCCTGAACGAGTACGGCAAGGATTTCGATGCGATCACCTCGTACATTCGCGCCAAGATGAAGAAGAAGGGAATGCCGGACGCCAACCTCAAGACTAAGACGCAAGTCAGCCACTTTTACTACAGGACCTGGCACAAACTCTCCAAGCATGTACACTTTGATGAGAGTAAGTTTCATTGTGTTATCATTTGCTTTGTATGTTATCTCTATAATATTTAAAGAATAATTTTCCATCAGACGTTAAGAAAGTGGCCCAGGAGCTGTACGCACTAATAAACTACGGCGAGCTGCGTCGCAAGCTGACGTCGGTGAACGAGAAGACGTGCGCGCGGCTGGGGGAGATGGTGCGCGGCGGCAGCATGGCGGTGCGCGCGCGCGGCCGCACGCTGCGGGTGCGCACGCCCATGTGTCGCGCCCTGCGCAGGCTCAACCACATCGCAGGTAATTAACTAACTTGAAAATTGTAAACGGACCTTCGAGTCAGACGGTTGTATAATCAATTACTAACTGATTAATTCTATTGATCGTATAGAGCGTGCGTGCGGTGCGCGCGTGTGCTCGCGTGCGACGGTGTGGCTGCGGGCGCGGTGCGCGGCGGGGTGGGCGCGCGTGCAGGCGGCGGCGCACAACCCGCGCGCTGTCGTCACGCTGCCGCTGCGCACGCGCCTGCACGCGCTGCTCCGTGCGCTGCACAAACGGTGGCGGCTTGTATCCTTTACTTAGATGATCTTAAAATCAGTTAACCTATCTGTTACCCCTGGACTAAAATAACTGTACTTCTAAACCCACAAAATAAAAGGTGTTAGACATTTCGTTTTGTCGAATTCAACGTTATTTTATTCTACCTTAACGAATAGATTTAGGCCGATCACAAAGAAGACGGTATATCAGAGAACGGCTCAGTTAAATTGGCAGAAGACACAATCAAGGAAGAGGACGATACAGATCGTGTACCGTTTGGTGACAGTAAACATGAAGATTTAGAGAGTCACCTCAACTTACAGACTGACAGGATTATTGTACAAGGTAACCTAGGCAATCTCTAACCAAGCTAGTGAAAAGATTCATGGTCAAGTACTACTTCAATCAAGGTATAGTCTTTTGTTGTGACCTTCACAATTTGTTCTAGAACATCTGAGTGAGAAGAAATTAGCACTACACGTGGGCCCTCGTCCTGGCGCGGAGATCCATCTGCCTATAGTCAGCCCCAGCGAGAGTCTATCAAGCCAGAAGATCTGCTTCTCCTCTTACCTGGAGCGGATGGGCACATTGATGCAGGACAAAGATGGTGCCGGTAAGACGAATAGTTATTATGGAATCGGTATCCTTAATATAATAAAACTAATAAATGTTAGGAATTATTAGGCTAAAGTTGTTTCATGTGTTTGATTTAGCAAAAATAAGAACACCGAAACGTCAACGTAAAGACAGCGTATCAGAGAAAGAAGATAACAAAAAGATAAAAGCTGAGGAGATTGAGCAGAAAATTGTACACATTGATGAAACAGCTATAGACGGTATCGAGCTGATGGCCAACTACAAAACTATCAAGCAACCGGAAGTAGAAGAAAAGGCAAACGTGGAAGATGAAAAAGAAGTTAAATCAGAGGAGACGGCCGAAGAAGAAGAAAAAGAACCGGAGAGGGACAAAGATATGTCTGAGAGAGAAAAGGATAGTTTTTCTGAGATGGAAGATGACGAGAAATTTAACAAAAGTGACACAGACAATGAAAGCGATGGGAAAGTTGATAAAAGCGGGAAAGGAAGGAAATTTAAAAATCTAAAGGTAAGTTTTAGGTTCACAAAATTTATATAATATCCAAAACTATTATAATAAGCCATTCATTTTGTATTTCAAATTCTTTTTGTTTTGATAGACAACTATGTCCCAGGTAAAATTCCGTATTCGTCCAAAGAAACGTGGCGGGAGAGTATACACTCTAGTGCTAGGTAAAGAGAACGAGGAGGCAAAGAATGAGCAGGAGCAGAAGACAGAAGAAGAACAGAAGTCAGACGTGGATGTGGAGACAGCTATAAAGCAGATTCGAACTGGTTGGAGTATTTACGACGCTGGAGACTTGACTATCGGAGATTTGTATCTTATGGTAAGAAGTTTTACATTCCAAAACAAACAGATTTAAAATTTGCGATAAAACTACATCTTTTTTTGCTTTTAGTTCGGTTCCCGATCCAGATTAGAATTGGACTACTGGTGGGCGGAACCCACACCTCCATTGCCTCAACCATTACAGAAATCGCAAAGGAACACAGATATGGAGAAAATAATAAACAGTTTAGATAAGGACAAACATACGGAGAAGAAAGAGAAAGGAGTAGAGATAGAAGATGAGAAAGAGAGAGCGAGGGAGAGTGACACGGATATATTCTCACCGAAGCACACGTTCAGTCAGGACAGCAATGACGGAATGTCGGGAGACGAGAGGAAAAGTGAGATTTATTTTCACATAAATTTTAGTCAACTTTAGTCTATTTGCTTTAGTGTTTTTTCTATTTCAGTTTCGATATAAAATATAAGTGCAGAAGAACATGTACTAAGTTTTTTCTTAATCCCGCGCAGATGAAGTCGCGGGTGACAGCTAGTTAAGTAAATAAAAGTGTAAATTATCAGGCGAGCAGCAAGCGTCCCCGGAGCACAAGTCAGCGGGCGCCGCCAGCACGCTCAAGCTGCTCTCCAAGCTCGTCAACCGGCCCGCGCCGCGTCCGCAGCACTCGCACTCGCCGCAACACGGCTTTGCTCTCATGAGCGACCGGTACATACACCGCACACAAATATTATAGCCTTTTTATAAATACCAAATTAGCACTTCATCCCAATTGCTACGATGTTAATTAGTATAATTTTTTCAAATATTTTAGAAGTCCAGGGTCATTTACGCCGCATCTCGCTATACCCTAATGCACATGACATTGTGTGCTACGCAGCTAATCGGAAGGAATTAGCCGCAAAGATATCTAAAAACTACTATATATATTTTTTTACTATTATATATTTGGTTTCAGTCTGAAGCGTCTGCTGGCGCTGGCGGGCAACCCGCTGGCCAGCGCCGCCGCCCCGCGCTGCGCCTGCGGGCACGTCTGTGCGCACACGCAGCGGAAACAGGTACACAACTTAAAACTATCTTACATACAACACTTTCAAACAAAAGTCTTCTATAGTTTTCCTTCTAAGTTGTTTAATTTCCTCCCTTAATAACAATTAAGTCAAATAATGTGATATTTGTGTACTTTAGCAGAAGAGTGCGGCGAGCAACACGACCGCGGCGGTGTCGGCGGCCAGCGCGCCAGTGTTCCGACACCCCACACCCATCGCACCGCGCCCAGCTCCTCACACTGACACTGATGTGAGATACTGCACCATATCATCATTTACACATCGCCTGACAATCTGACACCATTTAAAACAGTGGCAGTTAACAGTGGTAGACACCAGCAACAGAATGCACGAATGGGTCTCGCCCGCTGCAAAACACAGGCGCCAGTGGAAATCAATACCGCGTACACTCTGATGAAAGTGCGTGTCGGAGACCTAATTATAGTCTTCTTCCCCTCCCCACCTTTTTCCGATAAGAAAATATTAAATGGGGAAGTTGATGTGATGAAGGAAGGTACGCATAGGAAGGGGAAATTTCTTCTCCTCGTCGATTAAAGTTAGGCAACGCATTCACGATGTCGAATGTCTATGAGAGGCGTTTCAACATAGTAAAATAGCAGTGATGCAGTTGTTGTCTCCATGCAGGCTCGTCGTCCTGTCAACCTGGAGGGTCTGCCGCGCTGGAGACGAGGGCGGCCGCGCGGTGCGGCGCGCCGGGTGGTGGTGCAGCGCCTGCTGCCGCTGCTGCCCAAGCTGCCTCAGCCCAGCAGTCTGTATACCCAACTGCATAACTCACATACACATAACACCCGCACTCTAAATCCTCAAATGGTTTACGACGATAACGTTCTCCCGTATTAATTTAATGAATGAACGACAATGAAATTGTTTGATTTTCCACAGATCTCATCCCTATGAATATAGTACCTAATTCTCCGCCGGCGCCGCCCAAAATACTGCCCAAGCCACCGCCCACCTCCACATCTGAGTGAGTCGTCTTTTTAGTATACAATTTCATTTCACATTTCAAATCATCATTCAAAAGATCCGACTCGAAGGACCAAAAACCAATTGAAACAAACTGAAGTCCTAGTTTTTAATTTTGATATTTAATTGTATTCCTATGCCGTATTATACAGGATGTATAGCGTCTTTATATTACAGTCTTTCATTCTTCTACGTGCTGAGTGAATCCAACGGGCAGTTCTTCTTCCACGACGGAGACAGACGTATTCCTATCACGCCGCTGCCGGGGAACGGCGCTGATGACCACGAACAGGATGGTAAATAGTTAACACAGTCTTAGTTAAACTTACATCAAAAATGCATAGTGTAATGCGAAAGTTTAGATGGGTGGATGGATGTATGATTGTTAGAAGGTATCTCCAGAACGGTTGCATGGATCTTGCTGGAATTTGGCACAGATGTAGAAAATAGTCTGGAAGTACATATAGACTACATATTAAGTTATTTTTTAAAATTACGCCCCAACGGAATCCCGGGCAACAGCTAATTTATGCATAAAATTTATTATTTACAGAAGACGATATGAGAGAAAGTGATGACATCAAAGAGTATAAGATGGATATAACAGAAACTGAAGTCGCCAAGCCGCTGGACCCACAGCCTGAGAAGCAGCTCTCCACAGCTATCGAGGACAACCAGAATCAAGATATTGAGAACACTGACATCGCTCGTAAGTATCTCCATCTTCTTTTGTATTTGCGAAAAGAATATTAACCCTTCTCTGTCTACCTCCCCTCCCAATGTTCTTTTCTCTCTCACCCTCACACGCGCTCTCTTTCTCTCTCCATCAAGATAGAATATTAAAGTTTTAGTTTTACTGAATTAGATTTATAGTAACAGTGAATTTCAAATGATATGTCACATACAAGCACTATTGCTATCTCTGTTCTTTTCAAAGAGAATGAGAAGGATGGCATATACAAATGTCCGGTCGAGACCCATTGTAGTGTTCCGTCGCAGACTTCCTACCGTCGGAGTCGATGTCTTTGTCTCCGTCGCGGCTGCTGCACGCCGGCGGCTGGATGGAGGGCGCCGTGCAGGACTTCTCCCTCAGCAGCTTCCTGGGGCATCTGGAGGGTGATGAGCCGCACCCACCACCTGTACGGTCACACCCCTTGTATTATATACTACATGATTTCATTCCTACAGTTTGTAGCTCTAACACCGGTCTTTTGGAAGACAGAGCAGATTTAACTGAGACATAGAAAATGTCATAAAATAATGGTACACTACAAACAGGACCTTGTAACATTTTTTTGGCAGTGACAGGAGGGCGCTAGTGAGCTAATTTAGTTTGCGTTATGTCTACCAGGTCAGATATCCTTGACGGTCTATCTGATCTGGAAGGTATAAATAAATCCTATTTATTATATAACTCATCAGCGACCCCTTGTCAAGTTAAAAACCTGCTCTACGGTCTTTATCTTTATATGCTTTGTCCGTTTATAAACTGACAGAGTTCACATTCAGTTCATACCGAGTCAGTAAAACAAGTTTTTTTTCCAGGTGGACTCTCAAATACAGTCGCTAATGGCGGAGTCTAGTGTCGACTACGTGGCAAAGTTCGCGGACCTGGCGGCAGAGGTCACCGACGAGCCTGTGCCTTAAGGCACGCTAATTTATATTTTATGGTATTGATATAAGATTTAAAATGTTAATTTGGACTTTATATGTAAGATATAAGATCGTAAACGCAGTGAGCTGACCTCTTGACAACTCAAAGTTGTTTAGTTTTAAGAAAAAGTGATTAAAATTACAATATGCATTGTGTTTATATTTGTTTACATTGTATAAATATTTTGCATCTTTTATTACAAATAGCAATTGCTATTTTTTTTTTAGATTTTGTATAAAAGTTATAACACTCATTATTTTCTTTGTTTTTTTTATACTGTTTAAATATTTGAAATTGTGAAATCTGTATCAATATATTTTTAACGATATCTATGTGTAGTGATTTTTTGCTGCTATAGATACGTAAGATTAACAATAAAATTTAAAAATAACTTCATAGCCGATTTTTATTTTTCTATACTACTTAAATGCAAAAACCTACAATAAATTAATTCAGAAACATTCATACACTTGTAGCAAAATGCTATGAGGAACAGTAAGCTTGTTTGTTATAATATACCTAAGTACCATTTTCCAAACCAAAGAGTATGTAAAATGCTCCTGACAACAAAATGTGTTAATACAAGTATCACGGCAGCGTAATCGAATGTGTATAATAGTCATGAAAAAATATATGCAGACAAATGTTATTTATTTCTACTGCCTAAGGTTTTTTTTCTTTTATATTTTTCTAATGGCTGCTAATGGCTGTAGAGTCGCATTGTCTATGTTCATTGACTGTACGTTTATTGCCTTTAACATCTTGACATTTTATAAAGAGAAAAATTAACAGAGAGACGTCAATTTGTCTATGGCGGCCGGTGTTTACGTGGGGTGGTGATTAATTTAATAATTAAAAATGTGTGAAGAAGCAAACCTAAAATTATATTTCATGTAATAATAACGTTATTAGAAGCGTTAGACTTTAATTCCCCTTCTTTCTTTATTAAATTAAATTTCCGTAAAAAAACTACATAAACAAAATGTTTCTGATATTATTTACGTAAGTTATTTTTATTTCGTTGAATATTTAATATACTTTTTAAAATAACAAGAATTAAGACACGCAAATTACAATTTGAACAATATTTTTATAATTTGTGATAAAGGTTATGTTATTTTTTCCATATGTTTTAATAAATTGCATAATACATTACCAACTAAAGTACATAAGTAAATATTGCATTTATCAAACTTCCAATGTCTTTAGTAATGCATACATCATCATAAATATTCTTTCAGGTTACTCTTTGTTCTACCTGTGATGATAATGGGATTCTTATTTATCTCTGCATTTGTAATTATTCCCTTCGCATTTATTTTCGCGTCATGGTATATGAGAGTTAAGGAGCGAAAGAAGGAAAGGCGAGAAAAGGAGGGATTAAATGTTGCATTCTTTCACCCTTACTGCAATGCAGGTGGGGGTGGGGAGAGGGTACTCTGGGTGGCAATCAAAGCTGTATTGACAAGGTAAATATTTAACTTCATAATCTTTGTTAATCCTTATCTCTGAAATCTATTCATATATGATGTACTATATTATGTATATTACATTAAGGTTTCCGAGTTCAACTATCTATGTCTACACAGTGGAGACGGCAGATTCAAAAACTATACTAGACAAAGCACAAAACCAGTTCAATGTGGTAGTGGAACCAGAAAAACTGCATTTTGTACGGCTCAGCACACAGAAGTTGATTGAAGCTAAGACATATTCATATTTCACACTATTGATGCAAAGCTTGGGCTCTATGGTGTTGGGTATGGAAGCGTTGTTGAAGTTGAATCCAGGTAAATAATGTGTTTTAACTCAAAAGCAGTGTACAACCATTAATTATTGTATAAAACTTGTCAAATATTAACAAAATACTACAGGTTTTTATACAAAATGCATCCCCTATGTTTCCAATCTAATTATTCAATATTTTCCAGATATCTTCATAGACACCACTGGCTTTGCATTCACATACCCCATCTTCCGGTACCTAGCTCAATGCCCAGTAATCTGCTACGTCCACTACCCCACAATCACAGCGGCTATGATGCGTAGAGTCAAACACCGTATTGTGGCTTACAATAACTCAAGTATAATAGCAAGAAACCCACTCTTCACTTGGTTGAAGTTAATTTATTACAAGATTTTTGGTTGGGTAAGTATTGCTAAGTTTTCTTGTATGTCATTGTGTCACAACAATTTGCACAAACTTGAAGAGCCACTTATATAACTGAAAACTATTATTCTTTTAAGAGAAATAACTCTTCACATGTCATGTAAGAGAAGAAAAGAATCACATTTGTAAAGGAATCTCATAAGAGATGTAAATGTTTTCATCAGCCTTTTGGGCATAGTCATTTAGTATTCACATAGTTTTTTTTACAGTTGTATGGTGTAGTTGGGCGATGTGCGGATGTTGTGATGGTGAATGGTACCTGGACTGAAGAACATATCAATGATGTGTGGGGTGTCCCCTACGCTACTCATAAAGTTTACCCTCCCTGTGATGTAAGTCTCTTATATATTATGTAATATAAATGCAAAAGTTTAGATGGATGGAAGTTTCTTAGCAAGTAACTTCAAAAAGGCTAAGATGGATATTTGTCTGTTACTATATACTGTTTAGAATAGTATATAATATGCAACTAGTATTTTTTTCTAGCAATAGCTTGTATTCCACAATTTAAGTTTCCAACTGATCTTTGGTTGACTGAATTTTGTTACTCATAGATAATTGAGGTGTGCCTTGCAGGTGACAGAGCTTAAGAAGTTGCGATCCCTGGTGAAAGAGTCAGATCCTATCAGGATCCTGTCGGTGGCTCAGTTCAGGCCGGAGAAGGATCACCCGCTGATGCTGCAAGCTATGTATGAGTTGAGAAACTTGCTCGTCAAGAACGAAATGTTGTGGAACAAAGTATGCACATTTAGAGTTTTTTCTCAATATCATAATATAGACGTAAGTTCTAGTGAATTAGGAGAAATATATGTAATCCATAGAAAATTAAATAGTTACAGGCATATGTTAGTTATGTTTATAGTCAAACATAGATAACTGGCCCAATGATAGAGTTGCGGCCAGTGAGTTTAGTTATCTCGGAAAATATGTAAAATGTACAAAAGAAACTCGACGTCGTCGTAGAAGGGTATGCTTGTTCAGACGTGCCAAATTTTTAATTTTGTGCATGGTACTATATTTGTAACATTGCTATATTATCGCAGATCAAACTGGTGCTGGTGGGTTCCTGTCGTAACCGTGAGGATGAGGAGCTGGTGCAGAACCTGAAGGACCTGGCGCGCCACCTGTCGCTGGAGGAGAGCGTGCAGTTTGTGGTGAACGCGCCGTATGCTCGCCTGCTGCAGCTCTACCAGACCTCCACCGCCGCTATACACGCCATGTGGAACGAACACTTCGGAATCGGTTTGTGTTACTTTGTTTTACTATTTACAAGATGTCGCCCGCAATTAAAAAAAATAATGTGTTTTTCTAGACTATGTTCTACATGTATGTTAAAATTCAGCAACATCCATGCAGCTGTTTTGGACATATCTTGTAATAAACATCTATCTATCCATACATACATACAATCGTTGGCATTTATATTATTATAGTAAGATTTTCCTTATTTCTGTTCTACTGTCAATATCTGTTTTTTTTTTTGTTTGATTTACATTTTGTTTTAAATATTAGCAATATATATATATTTTTCCTTAATATATTTTGTAACTCTTCCAAGTAAACTTTTAACAATAGTGGATTGAACTGTAAGATCAATAGTCTGTTCAGTTAACCATTAGGTTATTAGCATTTTGTTTGAGGTCAATATTTGAAGTTGTATGTATGTCTGTATGTAGGTATTGTGGAGTGCATGGCGGCAGGTCTGGTGACGATAGCGCACAGGTCTGGCGGGCCGCTGCTGGACATCATCCAGAGCTCCCCGGTGAGGACTGGCTTCCTGGCAGCTGAACCCGAGGAGTACGCGCGCGCTATACTGGAGGTGGTCGCTCTCTCCACTGAGGACAGGAGGAAGATGATTGAAGCTGCTCGGTGAGTTGTCACTTCGTACTAGTAGACTTTTTAGCATCGACTAGGTAATATTTTTTTTTCTTAAAATAACTTATTTTACTATTTTTAACTTTTTATACATAATTTATTTTTAAATTTTTATATTTTTATCTTTTCAGGGATTCCGTGGATCGTTTTTCGAGCGTAGAGTTTGAGAAATCCTTCATTCGCGTCACTGAACCTCTGTTCGTAATGACTTGAACATTCGCTTGTTGCTTCGTTGTTATTCCATTAGATGTAAGTGTAATTATAAAATAAATTTTACCAAAGTTTGTATGAGTATTTTTTTTATACCAAAACATAAATAATTTGTCAAAAAATACTTATAATACATGTACATAATACAATAGACAAATTGATACTAAAATTTGCAACAAAAGGAAGGTTTGTAATTATATACAAATTTGATTTTATTTAAGACTTTGTAACAAATGCAATTTTTATAAGACTTTTTAAAGATGTGAAATAAGCAGTTATTTTATTTAATAAAATATTTTACAATCGTAACAAAAGTAGACAACTTAATAACAACACATTTAGTATCACTTAACTCCAATGGAATGTACTTAGGGTAACTTAAGTAGATGCACTGCCGACCCTGTCTCGGGGTATTAACCTCAGCTCGGAGCCGTGCTTCAAGAATACATTACCTAAACAAAAAAAAACAAATATTAATAAATTGCATAACTTAATTAGAGTATTATTTTAATTAGTTTGTCTCCTACTTAAATACAAAGTAATTTGATTGTCCACTAAACTGTTCATGATTTCAGGAAATAAATTATGTGATAACCAATCTGTCTATAAGGCAAATTATAGGATGTTTAACTAGATTCTACAGGTATATTTAGCTACATACCAGCGGTTTGTTGAGGGTTGATGCCAATACCGTCGTCAGTAATGATGGCACTGGTGGCTGGCTCCACTCGGAACTCCTCTGCCGCGAACTTCAGCACCGCAGTGAATGGTGTCGCCTCCGGCACGCTTAGTCTGTGTCCACGCAATACACAAATAAAACCTAAGATCTTTTTCCACAAAGCTATGAGCCATTACTAACATACTACCATTGTGAGCAGTTTCGTAGTGGAAAAAGGGTTTTAAAGTTCCTTCAAGTTCAAGAGCGTCGGTGGCTCAGGGGTCAAGCACTTGACTTGCAATCTGCAGGTCCTGGGTTCGAATCCCGCCATGTATTAATGTGTTTTTCACAGTTCTAACGGTGAAGGAAAACATCGTGATGCAACCTGCATATATCTGAGAAGAAATTCAAAGATATGTGTGAAGTCAACCAACCCGCACTTGGCCAGCATGGTTGACTATGGCCTAATCACCCTTAACTTAGGGTAGGCTCCGAGCCCCTCAGTAGGGATGTATAGTGAGCTAATGATGTATGTATGTATGATTGATGTTTTTGTAATGAGCAATAGAAATTAATATTCTTTGAACTTTTGTAAATTAAAATAAATGTTTCTCACATATAGAGAATTGTATGGGTAAATATTGACGAACTTCATTTTCATTATATACCATAACATATATACTAGAATTATTAATAGAGGACAATATTAGATAATTACATATAATTAATACATAGTACTCAAATTATTACATACTGATAAAGCTATATGCAAGTCAAAAATATACTTAAAGTTAAAATAAACAATTAATAAATCACTATAACAATATATTGTTCCAGAAATCTACATCACATGTATTCTGAACTTGTTCCAGAAACTCTATTTTAAGCTCTTCGTTTTCACAAATCTTTCGCAAAATACTTCTTAGTTGGGAATAGGTCAAATCTATATAAAAGTATTCAGCTGACATATTCTCTTTTAATAACTTTCCACAATCAAGTAAAGCTTTTAAAAGCAACATATATAAATTGTTATTTTCTACACAAAAATCCACTAAATAATTTTCATGTAACATGTATAAACTTCGCCAAAAACTTTTATATTTTACATCTCTACACTGCATTACATATTTAAATGTATTAACAATATTTTTAACACCATTTATATATTTTGTATCTTTATTTAATGAACAAGTGACTAATATTTGTATAGATTCATTATTTTGAAACATATCCTTAATAATTGGCTGGCAATCTTCATAATCACTATTATTTATCTCAAACAGAAATAATTCACTTTTTAATTTCAATAAAGTATCTTTTGGAAATTCTTTAGATATGTTTGTTAATAGTGTTTCTTTTGAAGCAGCTTCTAAAAAGAGATCACTCAAACAAACCTCTAATTTCACTTCAGAGAATAGTTCCACAAACAATTTAAATCCTACATCTAATAAATTAGTTTTACATGATGAGTCTATGATCTTTTTCATTATGTACTTTGGTGGATCTTCTAAACATTTCTTTAATAAAACATTGGATACATCATCACTGTTCAAACATGATATAAATTCAGTAATCACAGACTTCTGTTGTAACATATCTAGACAATTTACAACATGCTGAGCTATTAAAAAAACATTCCTTAACTCATGTTCAGATGTATCATTGTTGGGCCAATCATCTAACTGACATAGGTGAAGAAAGTCGTTCATAAAGTCAGTAAATTGTTCAACAGCCATTCTCAGGCATTAGCAGTCAGCAATTGTTCATCTGTTAACAAAGATTACAACCTATTGATACACTTGCCTATAGCTTTATCTGTATTTTATAAAACATATCACCACGCTTATAGTAAAATGACTACGTTTATTGTATATTAGGAAAATAACTTACACTTTGAAAGGCAACTTTGGGTCCGAAGTCAAGGTAATCTTGAAAGTTACTTTAGACCTGAAAAATAAATTTATGAATTAAACTACGAAAAATGTAGTAAAAATTTACTTTATACAATTATTTCATTTTCACTTACATTTTGTAAGAAATATAAATGAATTACAATTATATTAATTTAATTCAATGTTGCAAAATTGATGACAATGACGTGACGTACACACGTTTTTGACAATAGTTGTCAATGTCATCAACTGAAGTGGAAGAATATTTAATTAAGACCAACATTACGATTTTTACCTTTAAACAGTTAACAAGAAAAGTATACAATATAACAAAATTTTTTACAAAGTAACACACATAAGTATGTTTTTATATGACCACTGCTTTTCCGTATATGTATTTGTTTACAAAATATCAAATTTAAAGCTGACTAATTCTGACAGTGTAACTTACTCTCTGACAACAGCTGACAAGTCCAACGATGACAGACCAAACCCACCAAACATAAACAAATTCGTGTTCCAGATCCATAATAACATGGATACGATCAATATTATGTGTAAAAATCAATAGCTTTGATTCAGATACCTGACTTACTTAACGTCCGTTATTCAACCAAGCAAAAACCATGTTACTGAAAAGAAACATACTTGAAGATTTGACTATTATATCGTGTGGCGGTGCACTTATTTGTATAATCCTTAACTATGTAACAAATATTTCTCCTATAACCGGAATTTGGTTTCATTTGTATTTAATTACGGTCTTCGTAATTTCCGTTCTATTTAGCTTCAAGTTTATTCAGTGGCTGTTACATCTGAACAAACCAATTAAATATGATATTGAGGGATTGGTTAAAAAGTATCCAACCCTTTCTTTTTTGCCTGGTATTTTGCCTCGCACTGAAAGAAAAATATGTAAAGAACCGAAAGAATATGACATAAATGAACTTAGTATTATATCTACAGTGTTGGAAAGGAAATTGGTGTCATCATGGTATATGGAATATATTTCGCCTGAAATCGGTTTCCCGTTTGCTTGTAAACAAATGTTGGATCAAATGATTAGCAAGACATTTCAGGTTTGTGTTTTCTTCATTACAATATTTTATACAAAAGGACATATAAAATGTTATATTAAAATTTCTGTTTTAGATATGTGAAAAAATTGATACCAAAGATGTTTACGTTGACATCTGTGCGGTAATTACAAGCCATTTAAAAGAGTATAGCAAAGCATTGAAGAGACATGAGGAGTCACCAACCACCCCTGTGGAGTCCCTGTACAAAAAAACTCACCCCATATCTAATGACAAGAAGTATGAATCAGCTGATCATTGTGTAAATTTACTCCGTGTTGTACTAAAAGAACTTGTTCCATGGGAATTATGGGATACACCGCAATCCGAAATCCTTGTTAGGGTATTGTCTAAAAAACTAGACATTTTCATTGATAGTACATTATCTGATCCAATCTGGTTGAATGATAAGTTGCTATCGATAATAAAAGAGAAAAAAGATGAAGGAAAACTTGATTTTCCAATGCAAGAAGAATTTAAAGAAACAGAAAATAATTCTTCTGAAGAAATTTATACAGAAATCAATCCATTATTCTCTAATGTAGAACCTACTTCATTAAACATCAATACAGTTGAAACTGTAAAAGGAGTAGAAGAAGGAAGAGAAGAGTTTCAAGAGAGAATGGAGAGTATAGTAGAAGAGAAAGCAGTTCAGAGTACAGACCCAATGGATATCAAATCATCTCCAATACTGAGGCAGAGACGGGGTCGTCAGGGCAAGAATGAAGTTAAGATTTACGATAGAGTTATTGAAGGTAACATTAATGTTAATCAAATAACTTCAGTTTTAGACTAATTATATTTTTACGTTTGAAAATTTCCATAAGAAATTAAAGAATCATTGTTATTTTATTATTTAACCGACAGTTCAAAGCAGGTTAAATACTTTTTCACAAAAATCCTTTTATTTTAAAAAATGTTAACTATTCAGGGAGCATGAAAACCTGGGAGACAGACATGGACCTGCAATGCATCAGCCTGGGGCAAGACCTGCTGGCCAGTTTGGACGGGGAGATCACACTCAGCAGGCTATGGGGGCAGGATGTGGATCCTGACGGCAGTCCTAATCCACCCAGAGCTAAGTCACCCCAACCTTTTTGGTTTGGTAAGTACAGTTGAACCAGGATAAATGAAATTCACAGTGTTTTTTTTTCACATATAGAGGTTTCTCTCTAATCTGAGTTTGTTGCTTTGTAGGTCGTCCGTTGAGACGAGATAATGACACTTTTTTATATAGATTTTTAGGTTATCCATCTGTGCTGTAAATCTTAGAAATGTAAAGGTTGTAAACCTAACTTGTTTATAGAGAGTTAATTTCTGTACTATTTTTTTCCCTTTCTCTCTTATATAATGTAAATTCCAGGTGAAGAAGATGCAATAGAGTTAGAATGTGGAGACAGCAGCCCTCAGAAGCCAAGCGAGCCGAGCCCCGTGAAGAAGGAAAGCAGCCCCAAGCCGGCAGAACTCCTCAAGGATATCCAGAGCACGGTCCACCACGCCAAGTCTAAGATAGGCGACCTACAGGTCCCATACACACACATAGATGTGCCCCGCAAGCATTCCAGTGTATGTCTTTCTGCACGAACTTTCCGCTTTCTTCGCTTTAACACAGACCATGCATGATTTCAAAAGAATTTCATTTGGCACGTCGCTACTATGGACTACTCTTACTCTCAATGTGCCAACTCAAGGTACAATGGCAGACAGATATATGTGTCAAGACAAGTATTAGTGCATTTGGAACGCAGTTGCGATGTATGTTTAGCTTCACGCATGAACCAATGTTGCTTGCAATAAAGCATGTTTTACTACTGTTTATTCTTTAGCCGTGTTAGATAAAGAGAGCGGGAATGAATTTTCAATTTCCAAAAAGTGACAAAGATGTTAGAGAAAATATATGCATTTTTCTACTTCCTGTTCTCGATTCGTTGTGAAAATCTTCAGATTTGTCTCCAACGAGTGCCTGATTCATTCTTATATTATATTGGAATGGAGTTGTAGGAATTAGTTGGTGTGCAGGACGAGGCGGCCGGCATGATGGAGGGACTGTTGGACTTCGGCATCGCGGGCATCAAGAAGGGCCTGCGCTTCACCGGCCTCAGTGATGACTCACAAGTTAGTACTAATAAGTTAAGCATTGAGAAGTAAGTATAACTCCAATCAAACATGTCGGTGGCTCTGAATATTGGAACATGGAAGTAGCTTGGATAATAAATATTGTCGTATTACACGATTTTATGGAGTTAACTGTTTGAACCATCAAATATCTTAGTAGTAGTTTTGTAATTATTTTTAAGCTAGAATCAATGGACTTTTTTTTGTAAATTTCACATTTCCATAAGTTTAGATTTATTGCAATTTTCTTTAAATTAATTATATATTCTTGGGTATCCAGGAGAAATCTCCATCGCATCAGGCCAAGGACAAGGCCTCTGAGAAGATCTCTCCCCCGCAGGATATGGGCAGGAAGCCCATACAGGAACACAGAGATATTACTATCGCGTCTGCACACAGTACGTTAATATCATTAATTTTGCTGACTTTGTTGAAAAACATTAGGGTCTTTTAATCGTGTTTTGTATTCGTATAAGTAAGATTAAATATATCCATCAGATGAAAATGGTGCCGTCCCACAATTGGTGAAGCAACATCGAGTCACGTCACAGGATAGCATGGTAAGTTTAAAACAGTTTTTCTGCCAAGAAGATAAACAGATGAATCTGTTTTCAGTAACATGATGATAGCAGGTTCAGTAAACATTGTTTGAGATGTCACAGGGCAGGCGCGCGGGCAGCTGGCCCCCGCAGGAGGGTGGGGCGGAGTCCCCGGAGCCCGAGTACGAGGAGGCGGCAGACCTGTCCACCAGCATCGCCAAGCTGCGCTGTCTGCTGCAGCAGCGCGCTGAGACTGCGCAGTACAGGTTCACTGCACATGCGTACCATCTAATATTATAAGCATTTAATCTGGATTTTAGAAGAGTATATTAGTAGTATTAGGTAGTCAAAGGTTTTCAAAACAAATAAAAGTTAAACCTCGAAATGGTCAGATTAAACAGAACTGGTCGCTTTTAACATAATTTATTTTTCAATCGACTACAAATAGTGTTTATTCAATAATAAATCTTAGATCTGACGAGATCTGGTGGGAGGGTGCGGAGGAGACGCGCGGCAGGACGCAGCAGCACCACTCCTCGCGTCCTGTCGACACCGCCACACTCGCCGGTGTGTACCACTTCACACATACTTCTTCACTTTGCTTTATATATCGTCGACGTATATCGACATCTTTTGTTCAGATGAGTATGACATGAACATGGAGAGAAACTCCTCGCCGGGACAAACCTCCAACAATATGCAACGCTTGGACAAGTAAGTGAAACAGATTACCTGAGGAAAGTGGAGCCGTGTGTTTATTATAACTTGGTACATCTGTCAGGTTGTTCCAACGGACGGTGACGGGCGTGTTCAACTCTATAAAGACGGCTGTGGGCGCGGAGGGGGCGGAGGGCGCTGAAGGCGAAGGCGCACCACGTCCGCGAGACTGGCACTACGTGTGCACCTCGCCGGACCTCAGCGTGAGTAGTGAGCTGTGAGCACGTGGTGGTGGTGTGTGTGTGTGTGTGTGTGTGAGAGTGACGGCGGGGTGTGGGCGGGGCGTGCCGGCAGGTGGGCGGGGCGGTGGCGCGGCTGGTGGGCGCGCGGCGGGCACTGGGGGAGGTGGACGCGGCGCTGGACCCCCTGCAGCCCCCCGCCACTCCGCCCGCGCCCGACGTGCCGCCCGCTGACTTCGGTAACACATTCACTACTCATATTATAATACATAAAAAACAATTATATTTCTACTGTTCCTTTCGAAGATGATAAACAAAAATGTTTCTTTGGAACTAAACAGAATGCGTTGTTGTGTAAATTTTTCGACAATATTCTCAGCAAAGTTATAGTACTAACTGAACTACTCGAGTCGTTTAATGGTCACTTAGGAAACCGTAATGGAAAATTCTTTTACTAAAGCAATACTTAATAGGCTTTAAATGAGAAGGGTGAGGGAGTGCTGTTAGAAGAGTTTCAGTGCAGTGTGTGTGTAGAGGAGTGGTGCAGCAACTGCGGCGCGGGGTGGAGCGGCGCGTGCGCAGTGGCGGGCGCGGCGGGACTCTGCCGCTCCCACGTCGCCTTCCGTCTCGCCACGCTGCTCTTTGCTGGTAAATCTACCACTAAACTAGATAACAAGTATCATAGAAAACTTTCAAGTCTTCTAGAAAGAGATCTCTACTCTTAAAGGAATGAATCTCCAGTTCGTCTTTAGTGGGCGGTATCCATAGTTACGTTCTTCTACACCGAGTCAACTCACTTATAATTTGGTCTTTATCCTATATCAGTAGCCATAAATCGAATTAGAGTCATGCTATCCATTCCCAGCAATCCCTAAATTCCAGACCTAGCGGAATCTCTGCTGGCCTCCTGGCTGGATGAGCTAAGCGCGTGGCTGCGGCAGCAGGTGTTTGTAGTGTTCCAGCAGCTTTCCGGAGATGAGCTGGACCTCACCAGCAAGGGGGACCAACTGCGTCCCCTTGATATTGACGAGACGTGTGCCGCTATTATGGCGGTTATACCCGGTAAGCATATAAAACTATAGAATATTTTTTATTAAGCGCCTCAATTCCCGTGAGTGAATTGCCACTGTTTGCCTCTAGGAGATATTAACAGCTTCACCCCGGGCTTGAAGTGGCCGAGCGCAGATGACACTTAGCCTAAATCTCGAACTGTTTAGATTAAATATTGTTCTGGTAAATAAAATATATCACATGACACAATTATATCGTGACCTGATACAAAGTCAACGTCATCTAGCGCCGTAAAGTTAACTATGTGTTGTTTGTCAGAGATGTACGTGTTCAGCGAGGAGGGTATCTCGGCCGCGGTGCGTCTCTCTGTGTCCAGTCTGCGACACAAGGACCTCAACAAGGACCTCATGTTCCGCACCCTGGACCTCATGGTGGCGCGCTACAAGCACGCCGCCGGCATCACTTCCACCTCATTCGATGCCAACTAACATGATAATGCTCTTTTATACATCATGTTTCAAAACTCATCATTTGATAGAGTTTTGAAACATGCTGTATAATGTGTGAAGATTGTTTACTGGAATTTAATTTATTTACATGTTGTATCGAGTCAAGGGAAAGATAATAATTACTTCTAAAGTATATAAATGAGAATATTTTAATTAATATATAGTCAAATGATCTCGTATTCTAAGAATCTTGTACTTCATGTACATTCACTATTCATTAATAAAATATATTAAATGTTTTATGTTTTATTTATGTATTGAACATAAGATAGTTTGTGTTTATTTTGAAGAAGAAGAAAATAATAAAACAATGACCATTCCAAATGATTTATTTTTCGTTTACACGAACATTACAGATATATCACAGAGAGCGCATACAAAAATGCAAACAATATTTCAATTGTTGCGTCTATCAGTTTCCACTGCCGAAACATGTCTACATAAACATCTATATCTTTTTAAACGACGATTATTTACTTACATTCTACACTTATAAGAGAAAAGAAGTTCTCTATAGGAATTATCGTCTACTTTGGTCGTTCAAAAATACAACATTTGTCCTCACATTTAAAACAACAAAAATATGTCGGTTTCTCTATTTTCTTCATATTGAATGAAAGGGACGAAGATATGTTTTTACATTTGCTGTAGAAATCAATAATAAATAACATTAAGTATGTAAATAAACAATATAGGTAATTAATAATTTGCTGTTTATAATTGTTTTTCATTTTCAGCTTTCGTGTTTTTTTTTCAGACATAAATTCTAAAAAAAATTATATCTGTTTACAAACATGATGAAACATTTAGTGAGGTAAATCGATCGATTACCGATAATAATGTTCGTTTGTCTTAACCTTAAAAATAGTTCTGATACCTTTTGCTTGCTTTTAAGATGATATTATTCGGAGATAGCATTTACTTATGGCATTCAGTTTAAAATAATGACATGTTAGTGTTTAGGATGTTGCCACCGTTGCATATTTAAATATAATTTTTACAAGTCATAATACTAGTATATAAATAAATCTCACACTAAGGGACCGCCTCGGTCACTTTACAACTTTGAGTGCGTCAATTGTACCCACAGAAATGCAATGTGTGTGATCAGAGTGCGGTGATGTCTGTGAGATGAGAGAGGAGGGCGGAGGGTGCGGGCGAGGCGGGGCGCGCGGGGGCGAGCTCTGCCTCCTCCAGCTCAGTACCCCGAGATCTGCTCGAGCCCGCGAAGTTTAGGAACATCTGCAGATATATACATATTTGTCTCATAAATATCGTCGAAGAAAAAACATTTAGTAAAACATAAATTGAAGAAAATTGTTCAATTTGAATCATAAACAATAAAAAACCTTACCTTAGGGATATTCTGTCTTTTAGGCTAGTGTAACCTACACTAGCCTAAAAGACAGAATAGATTGTTTTCAAGTAAAGAAATGCATCGTTTCTTATCTCTAAAGTACCACAAAGTCAATCGTAACTAGCAACTTCTTGAAAAAGATTATTAGGTAAGAAATGTAGCGCGATAAAACCAGACCTGGTCGAGCGAGCTTTGGTTGACGGTGAAGTCCTCAAGGTCGCAGGCGGCGTGAAGCTCCGCCGTGAGCCGGAACACCTCGCTCACACGCGTGTGCACTTCCTTGCCGTCCACTGCAAACATAAAAACAAAAAATACTATATTTCGAGTGATTCATTTACGACTGACACAGTTTATTTACTAATTAGGCTTTACACAATGAATCTGAGTGTGACAGTTATACATGAGTGAAGTACCAATGGAGTGTGTGGGCAGCAGGAAGTGCAGCGCATTATTGTGAAGCGCCTGCAGCTGGGCGTGCGGTGCTGCCGCCTGCAGCCTGCACCACGCCGCGTGCACCGCCGCGCGCCCGCCCCGCACCCTCCACCACACCGCCTGCCCGCCGCCGAACCTGCACACACAACACGATACTCTCAAAATGTCGACCCTCCGAAAGCAATCGCTGGAAGCTACCAGCACTAAAATTAGTAAGAACTCATCATTAAATCATCGTCATGATGTCAGACGTCATGATGATATTACCTCCTCAAACACTGGTGCAGTGGAGCGAGCGCGCGCAGGGTGCCGGCCTGCAGCAGCGCGACGCGCGCGGCAAGGCGGCGTGCGTCGTCCAGCGCGTGCGTGGCCAGCAGCACGCCGCGTCCTGAGCTGCACGCGCTCTGCACGCCGCGCGACACGCACGTGCGAGAACCAGGGTCCATGCCACTGGAGAAGAGGGAGACGAATGTATTTAACAAAACTGAAAAATTCAAAAAGTCAAATCATCGATAATAAATAAAATCGTGTATTTCTTCTCCCTCGTTCGATAATAACCTTGTGGGTTCATCCAGCAGCACGAGCGGCGTCCTGCCCATGAACGCGATGGCGGTGCACAGCTTGCGCTTGTTGCCGCCGCTCAGCTGTCCGCTGCGCACCTCCCGGTACTTGCTCAAGTCAAACGTATCTATAGTCCTTCTTATCACCTACAACAGAAAGTACCTTTTAATTAATTGTAATCAAATTTAAATATGGATAAGTACATGAATGGATTGCGTGAAGTTGACATGAGAAAGATATTGATGACTGAAATTAAGTGTGATAGATCGATCTTGAAGGAAACGAGAGATGATTATGAATATCTAGTGCGAGAATACTACACACTAGATGGCGCTGTAATAAAAAGTACCAATCAAATTGTGTTACCTCGTCCTGGTCCTGTATACCGCGCAGTCTGCAGTAGAACTTAAGCGTCTCCTGTACTGTCAGCAGAGGATCGATGGCGTCGCTTTGTGGACAGTAACCTGAACAATGAAGCTCGACATTTAATGTTAATGTATAATAATTCATTCCACAAAGTTGTGAAGCTCAGTACGAACGAAGTTTCGTCGTAACGGTAACTTGTATTAGAATAGAAGGAGTAGAAATTGATACACAAGACATGTGTAGATAAGATTATTTATAAATAGGATGTCTTACTGATGAATCCTTTGCAAAGATCTGTGGGGCTGGCGCGGATGTCGCGGAGACAGATGTGACCTGCGCTGGGCCGCACCTCGCCCGTCAGCATAGAGAAGGTCGTCGATTTCCCGGCACCGTTCTGACCCAGCAAAGCTGTACACTGTGTTGCAAAAACATTTTCTTTCACTGAATAGCGAAAAGAATAAGTAATAATCTAATTGATGATATTATTATACTTTTAGAAGAGATTTGTGATTTGTTTGTCGTTTTAGGCGTTTATTTTACATATTGTGTAAGTTATAATGAGACCTGTCCTGGCGGTATGGCGAGAGTGAGGTCGCGCAGGGCGAGGCGGCGGCCAGCCAGCGCGGGGTACGCCTTGCCCAGCCGCACACAAGCCGCTACATCGCCCGCGGACACCACACGTACCGGGCCTTTCTTCTCCTCCGTGTCGAGGAAGCCTACATACCAAATGTTTTATAATTCCCTTGTTGTTGAAAAAAACGAACCAATGATCCGTTAAAGAAAGCGGAACTTCAATTATTCTTTAATTGTGTACGTGATAAAATTTTAGTAATTATCCATCATCTGTGACTTCTATTTGAAGCTTTGAACGATTAGTTAGCAATAGAAAACACAAAGAAACCGAGATATATAAGACAGACCTGCATTAATATTGCCAATAGTCCTGAGACGCAGCGGCGTGCGCGCGGCGAGCACGCGGCGCCGCTCCGCAAGCACCTCGGGGTCCAGCTCGCTGTCCGGCAGCGGCTCTACGTACTCCGAACGGAACCTGAATATATATACAACTTTTAACTAAAAGGATATTAAACAAAAAACAAAATAAATAATATAAAGAGAAAGGATAATTTCCTTTTCTATCGATCCTCTTCTCCACCAACATTTTCCTAGATTTATTATAAATACAGAATTTAGAAAATCTTTCCATTGGCTTGCTCATTTTTCTCTAACTAAAATGTAACCAACAAAACTTATGTATAATCCGATCGCTTGCTTACTTAGCAAGTAGAACTTCGAAGCAGTCGTATTCAATGGCGAGGTTGAGGAGATGCAGGACGGTGCCGACGAGGACCAGGGCCAGGTAGTGGTAGGCAATGAGGTCGCTGCTCAGGGGGTCCTGGTATGTGTCCATGCCGAACTGTCCCAGCACCTGACAACATACGTACACGGAGTCAGCAGTGGTCTACTTCAAAAAGATAGGTGACCATGTTACATGCCATCATTTTTTCACATTGACAATTAACTCGCATTACGACAAGAATTGAAGGAAAATAGATTTTAGATTTTCTAAAAGTAGTAGTAGGTGACGTAAAGGTTCTTCCTCTTTTATGCAGATGGTTTTTTCGATTTCTATCGGATGGTGTGATAAGAGTTAAATGTATTCAAACCTGTGCCCTTATTGTGTTTTTAGCGATCTCCAGGATCCCATCTCCGAGTGTGAACTGCGGACTCAGCATTAGAATCTTGTGCAGCACCCAGCGCGCAGTATCCGTTGTCTGAGGACATTCATTCATTTGATTGTCAGAGAACGTCATTCTCTAAGTGACTAAAATTCTTCATACAAAATCTGTAATGTAAGCTTTCGACCAACCAAATTATATATGATGCATTCCTCTTTTGTGTACGACGGCTGTAGCTTCAATTTTTACCACTTTACTAACAGTTTAGACTGTACTAGGAAGTACGTCAGAATGACGTCATGTAATGTGACAGTTCTCACATTAGATTCAGAGATGATGTCCAGTATGAGCAGCAGGGCGATGCCGACGACGCCTACGAAGGTGTTGGCGCAGAAGAGCAGCATGTTGGCGAGACTGGGCTGCGTGAACAGCCGGGAAGCCACGTGCACCACGCCCGCGCACCCGTACCTGAACGAACCGAGTATAATAAGGTAACACGATAACAAAAATTACATCAAAACTAATTTATTAATGTAAGTTTTAATCACAAATCATTTATATTACACTTGAGTAATACATACCCGTATAAAAAGATGAGAAGGCAAATTGCGGACAAATTATTTCTAGAGACGAAGACGGGGAAATGGAAAGCCTGCAGCACCGCCGCCGTGATTACGATGTTTACTATTATTACCTAGGAAGAAAGGAATATATATGTCAAGAAAACTGTGATAAATGTAATGAATTGTAGTTAGAAGAGGTACTGACCGTCATGTCCCAGACGAGCGCGGTGGCCCAGTAGAGTGCGGGCGAGACGCCGGCCAGCAGCTGCAGCCGCTGCTGGTGCGAGGCGCGCGCAGTCACCAGCCGCACCGCGCCGCCCGCGCTCGCCAGGCTGAACGCGATCAGCAGCATCGCCGACACGCCCGCGTCCGCTATGTGCTGGTAACTGATACAACGCAAATAACACTATCAAGACACGCCGCTTTATATCACCTCTTATATTAATTATCTGGAACTAGTCTAAAAGAAAGTAGACATCATTACGAAATAGAAAGAGTGGCACAAATAACAGAACATTGAAAGTTGAACATTATAATGATGAGGAAAGGCTGCCGATGATACTGACACAGTGTCCTTGTTGATGGGCTCGTTGGATATCTTGAGTGGGTGCGTGTAGGTGGTGATGTTTGCTGAGCGTCGTCCGCTGGCCGCGCGCAGCACCGCCGAGTGCAGCGCGCTGAGGTACGTCGGCATGGCGTGGTACCCCTTGTTGTTGTACCACACCACCAGGTTTGATATGTTGTTCTTGATCACAGACGAATAACCGCCGTATCTGCAACATTGACTTGTAAGTAATACGCGTAACACGTCTATGACAACGTAATACATTAGAAAACCAGCAATCTTTGTACCTCTTCTCAATGTAGACATCGTGTGAGGCTACTATCCAGTTGTTGAGAGTCGTCGTATCGGGCAACAGCATCAGTTCAGGCAGAGCACTGCTGTTTACGGCACTCAGATCACATTCCTGTTTCGTGACCACGCAATTACATACAGGATTGTCCTGTAACAAGAACGTCGAAAATATGAACAATTATTATATATGTTCATCAGTTTCATTCTCTTTTAAGAAAACAAAGACAATGATAGGTGTATTTCATAAGTTTGTTACATTACCTCATCTGTCCAATTTCTGGCGCGCTTCTCCGCAATGAGAGTGTTCATGACGTCTTGAGCAAACAATGAGCTTATGACACTATCGTCAGAAATCGATGGCTTTTTACTGCAACAATGGAAATGTCAAATGTGATAACTTATAATTTAAATCGGAATCTAAGTGGGAAGCGAATTTAATTTGTTGATTCTACATACACGAGGTAGTCGGTGGTGTTGTCGTACAACCGGTGCAGAGGCAGCGCGAACTCGCTGTTGGGCGGCGGCCGGATGTTGGAGAACGCCATTGAAATCAACACGAAGAGCGAGGGCAGCGCCACCAACATGAACAGCAGTGATCTAATCACATCCATAAATCAGTCCGTGAATTCTTAAATCCACATTTAAAATAAGACAAGTCGAATGTACTAGAACAAAACTAGGTACCTATTTCTCGTGTAATGCAAATATCGGGCATATAACAGCGCTACAAACTGATCCCACAGCGAACCCACCAGTGGGCCTTCCCGTGGAACTAGTGGAGCTTTGTCATTGCGTAGACTGGATGTCGATGCGCTTTTAGATGGTGTTTCTGAAACTAATTAAAAACAAGTAAGACTTCTAGCCGCACTAATTAATCGCTCACTGAGCAAGCCACAGCGTAGCTTTTGTACCATAAATCTACACTATAGACTATATTTTATAAGTGTACATGCAATGTATGATTTCTAAATATTACCTAATTCAACATTCTGGACCGGAGCGTCGGCCTGGTGGCAGATAGTGAAGAAGACTTGCTCCAGGCTGCTGCAATCCAGGCTGAAGTCACAGAAGCCCAGTGCTGCCTGTTGCGACTCAAGCGCCAAGCAAACCTCGAGGTAGCTATCGAACAGAATATAGAACTAAGACGAGACCGTTGATGAACAGACAATGTAAAAGCAAAAAAATAATCAAAACTTACTTGCTGCTAACGCCATCTTGGTCGAAGAATGGTAGATTTATCTCAACTTCTGATCCATTCACATCCATCAGGTTCGCATTCCTGATCACATTCCTGACTGTAGCTATCAGGAGTTTGGTCTTCTCTTCTATACAAACTTCATCATCTTCTACGCTGTCACAAACATCGTCCAGTCTCCTCCTGGTCTCAGGATACATCACCGTTAGTTTGTATCCACTCCCGAGGGAACGTTTGATTTCTATCGGCGATCCCGTTGTATGAATTTGACCCTAAATGAAAATAAGTGATTTTATAAAACTAAACTACCAAAACACTTAAACTATAAATTGAAAAAGATAAGTATTACTTTATGCATGATAACGATTTGATCGCTGAGTAGCTCGGCCTCGTCCAGGTGGTGCGTCGTTAGCAGAATGGTTCTGTTCTCGCGCAGCTTCAGTATCATTGACCAGATGTCCCTGGTAAAAATATGTCCGCATAATAATTACACTTGATACCATGACATAAGAGATGTGAGGGTTTGCAAGTAGTACCTCCTGGCGGCCGGGTCGACTCCCGCGGTGGGCTCGTCGAGCACCACGAGGCCGGGCTCGGCGACGAAGGCGAGCGCGACACACAGCCGCCGTCGTGTGCCGCCCGACAGCCGCCACACGGGCTCCTCCGCTACCGCACCCAGCGACAGCACGCGCAGTATGCTGACATAAAAAATCAAATGTTGTATTAGATCACATTAGGGTTAACGCACCCTAGGGTGGCCTTTGACATAATGGAGTGTTAATACCTCTCGATCTGGTCGTGCAGCTCGTGCAAGTCACGTCCGCTCTTAAGTTGCGCGTAAAGCTGCACGTGCTCGCGCGCGCTCAGCTGGCGGTAGAGCACGTCATGTTGCGGGCACACGCCCAGCCGCGCGCCAGCTGCACCGCCGCCGCCGCAACGCACGACCACGCTGCCCTGCGTCGGCTTCAGCATACCTGTCATGATGTTGCTGGGAACAAAAGCTTATAAATTATCATATTGTACAGTGAGGAATTAGATCGGGTAGATCAATTTAAAGGCCCACTTGTAGCTGGTACACTTAAGTTTAGTTATGTAAATGTAATGTTACATACATGAGCGTGCTCTTGCCGGCGCCGTTGTGTCCGAGCAGCGAGGTGATCTGTCCGGTATGTAGCTCGAGCGAGCAGTTGTCGAGCGCCATCTTGCCGCCGCCGTACACCTTACTTACGTTGAGAACGCTCACACCTGCCTTCTCGCCTGCCGCCTCGCAGTCCACCACGCTCACTTGGTGAGCTTGGAAGCCTGATAAAAATAAATTGCGTGAAACTAACGTGAAGATATGCAAGAAACAAGCAAGTTTTCAATGGTGTATTACCGTAAAGTTTTTCTAGAAGTAATCCGATGAGGATATAGAGGACACCGTCGAAAACCATTATGAGGGCGGCGAGGCCGATGCTCATGTCGTGCACTCCGTCGGGCGACGCCCACAGCTGCGCCCACTGCGCGCCAGAGCCCATCGCCTCGTACCGCGTTATGTACAGGAACGCGTAGCACAGCGACGATGACATCGACAGGCACTGCCAAAAGATGCTTTGTATTTATTAGGAGATAAAATAGGAAAAAAAAACGTTGCGTAATTGATTAAAAGTAAATGCAGTGTGTACTAACGACGATGAATTTCAGTGAGCTGGTGAGCACGGCCTCCAGAGAAAGGATGAGCACGAAGGGCATAAAGGAGGTGAGGTAGGCGAGACCGGCGCACACCGCGCCTACGCTCGCGCCGCGGAACATCTTCGACATCATATAACTAAACACAACATTATAAATATGATATTTGACTTTCAAATTATATTTGACTATCAAATTATATGCTTAATAATTCACAGTTGTTATGACGCAAAATTATTTTGGTGAATAACAATTTATAATATGATGGCGTGTAATTATAAATAAACTCACCAGAAAGACAGTACAGAGAAGGCAAACAAGAACAAGAGCACGAAGATAAGAGATGGCGCTGTGTGGGGGAGGACGCCACCCGCGTACAGCACAGCGGCGATGCAGGCGGCCGTCGCCACCAGCTCGCCCATAGACCACACGAACCACGACAACGTGTGGTACGACAGGCTCACCCCCATCACTGACATCAGCTAAAGAAGTATTACGTGTGTCAATCAATATATCACCTTAATGCAAAGGAGTAAAGATCCATTTCATTTAACCTTGACATATATTTGTCTTCTTCAGATAAACTTTTTTCTCACTACAAATGGTTCAGCGAAATAAGAAATATTTTGAAAGGAATTTATGAGAAAATACTCAAAAAATTTATAGTCTAGGATATCTCCATGAGGCAACTTCAAATATTATCACCGTAAATAACAGTTATTTAACTTTTTAAAAGTAAACTTACCACGGTGTTACCACTTTCCTTCTCCGAGATGATAAAGCGTACAACAGAAGTAGTTGTGAACAGCAGTGAGAAGAAGAATGTTACAATAAGAGACTGCGACTCGTATAAAGATGTTTGGAAACTGGAACAAAAAACCGAATAATCTATAATAACATATTAAAATAATACGAATAATTTAAGCAACATCCTTCCATTCCTTAATAAATTAATACAAGTAGTACTGACAAGTCTTTCCTATAGCAGGGGTAAGGTTCTTGCTGTGTGTACGTCGCCCAGTCTACATCCAGAGTGCTGCCCAGACCGTCCGCGGCGACGTCTATGATGGCCTTGTCGATGATGTCTTGAATCTGGACGAAGCCGCGGAAGTAGCGCATGTTGTCTATAAAGTTAGACTCTGGCCCGGGGATCCAAAGACTGGGGAATGAAAGTTTTCTTAAAACCTGGTGGGTATGGTTTTTTTTGTGAATTATACGTATAAATAATACTTACAAATTCTTCTTTCTAGTTGTCGTTGGTACATTCTCTATGTCCATTCTTATTTTATATTCCACATTTAGTGGCACTTCCAGACTTGACTCATTATTTAAGAACACCAAACCTGTTGAGTTAGTAATTTTAGATTTAGAATTAGTATCATTTGAATTTAATTCAGCAATGTTGTCAAAAAGCAGTCAAAACGCAAAAGTAAAAAATGCAGCCTTTCGTCTACGATTTTTATTAAAAGATGTACTAAAATAAATTACCAGCAGAGAACTCGTTCACTCTCACCAGCTTGACGGCCTCGAGACTGAGCTGATGCTCGTCAGACACCGGTCTGAAGCGGTTTAAGTTCACGCACTCCAGGATGTTGGAGCCCTTCTGCAGGATACTACCCAAGTCCTGTAATACATATAACAACAGCTTTTGTTACAAATAATCTAAGCAAACTCATAATTACATAGACAAATCTATCAAAAAACGATTAATGGTTCAGGGATGCCGATAGTAAGCAGTAGATGCTTTTTGTCTTTATCTTTGGTTAACAATTGTAACATATTTGTATGTTAAATGGTTTGGCTCACCTGCACATTCCCTAACTTGTTGAAAATCTCCTCAACATCGAACTCCGGTATCTGCACGTCTCCGAAGAGTTCTGCCTTGAGTGCTTGTGCTGCAGGCGCCGCGAGCAGCTGCTGTAAGGCTGCGAGACCCTCGCGGTGCGATGTCAGCGCCCCCATCGCGGGAAATGCGTTCGCGAACCTCTGTACTAGTTCTATCATCTGTACCATTGGTGCGAATGTCTCGTTTGCCTGGAATAGTACAATATGAGTGTGCTGAGTCAATTTGGTACACCAAATTCGCTGAGCATGTCCACATGAAGCTCACAGAGGCAATAAATAGCATTGTTACAATAGGATGTAATAACGATGCAACGTCTTTTACTCAGTCTTTGTATGAATGAACTACAGACTATTGAACCGTTATGCAAATAACGGTTCAATACCGGTACGATACGGTCTTCTTAAATGTCCTGAATGTGTTAATGATTAGGAAATTCATGTATTTATTATTGAGTTGTATGTTACCTTCTGTATGATTTGGTGCACGTTGGGTGTGGCGGGCGTGTACAGGATCTTGCCCATGACAAGCGGCTTCACAAAACTCCACACGATCTTGCCGCCGTCGATGCTCACAATCTGCTTGTACATCGATCGGCAAAAGTCCGCTGCAATACAATATTATAAATAGCATACAAAAAGATGCGATGTACCCTGAGACTTGAGATTAGTTTTTATTTTCATCACAAGTATTATTTCTTTGTTTAGGTAATACAAAACGTACTGGGTAAAACTGCTAATTGTTCAGCGTCAGCTTCGCTGGATAAGTCTTTGGTTTCGACGATGGACTTGAAGAACCTGTTGACGTGCGTGTTGAATGGTTTGCCGCACACCATTTTGCCCGCCGCCGCCATGAAGTCGCCACCTAAAATAATACAACTGTTTTATTTCATTTCACATCATAAGTCTATCTGTCATGTGTGACGCAACTGTGCCGGAATATCGGAACCTCAAAAGGCTAATCGTGGTAAGAATCTCGCTGTTTATGAACTTTGTTTGTGAAATCTACAAAAATGTAAAGAATTATATATCTACATCCTTCTGACGTTAGAAAATCATAGTTCATACTTAAGATACACTTAGATTCATACCTCCAAACAAACTATCAAAAGAAAAATCTTTTTTGAAGTAGTCGAGCATGGGCTCATCAGCCAGCAGCCCGCTGACGCGTTCAAAGCTGTCCCTGACTGTGGGCAGGAGCGCAGCAAGCTGCGGGAAGCTGTCCAGCACCAGCTCGCCGCGCTGCGCCGGCAGATCCGACGCCGCGTAAAGCTCGCGAAGTAGCCAGTCTTTTATCTACAAAATGCATAAAAAAATTCGAAGTAGTAATTTAACTAATATTATTTTATTTATAATTATGTTCTTTCGTTGATGATAAAAATTGCTCTAATTATTTTGCTGTGAAGTGCAATCTCAGTTAGCTTTAGGGTGTTAGTTATTGTCAACTCTAATACTGGTTAATATTTCGTTTGTATGCAACGCAAACCAATGATTTAAAAATAGAGAAGACTTGCTTACATTGTTTATGATATACGAGAAATCTAAGTTCCGCAGTAGGACGGACACGATCTTCTTGGCGATATCCTCATCCAGGTCGCAGAACTGTTCGGAGAGTGCGCCAAGCACGTCATCCAATGTCACCACATCCAAGTTTGCGGGCACCAGCACCCGAGCTAGGTCCTCCGCCTCGCACACCAGCTGCCTGATATGGAACGTATCCTTTGAAGCCAGGATCTAATGGATACAAGTGGAATCACATGTGAGAAATTTTATATTCGACGACAAAACTTAGTGCTACATTTTTAAAATGTCAATTTTTGTCAATGAAAGTAATCATTTGATGAAACGTAATCAGTTAGTACCGGTTTGAACTGTAGGTGTCCGGCGTGTATGCGAGGCGCGGCTACAGACCAGAAGTTAGTGTTGTTGATGCCCAGCGCGCTCAGCTCCACTTCCAGCTCATCAGGAGCAGAGAATAACTCTGATACTGGAACTGCAACAATTTTTTTTTAATTATTCGCACTCCTAAAAGTTGGGAAACATTGCTAACCAAAACTATTCTAACAAAAGGCAATCGTTTGCTTCGGTGTATTTTGTCGGGTAATTAATGACACGGATCATTAATGCTAGAGTTTTTTACATATAAAAAAAATTTTTAAATTTACAGTTAAAATTCATGTTAAGAAAGTTAACACGGCACAAGGGATAACTTTAATTTTACCTTTAATATCTTCTTCAATTAATGAATTTCTAATCTGTTGCAGCACCAGTAAGCCTCGGCTCACATCGAGCAGATTAACATGGAGATCGTAAGCTTTTATTATTGGTGTCAGTTCAGTTGTTAATCCATGCAAGCTGGAAGAAAAATATACATAAACTATCAATTAAATATTAAATGGATTAATATTTTTTAATTAAGCTTTGCGGGATTAGGAAATACGTGTTTACTGAGCCATAGCGTCTTTTTATAAATAGTAGAAGTTGGCATATGAATGTGTGTAAGAACTACATACCTATAAACAATGCTACCAAGTGTATCATCAGTGAGGAGTTGTATGGCGGTGTCAATGACAGCAACCAGCCTTCCCTGCATCACACCCCCCACATCAACTATACTGACCACACCCAACAGCCGAGCTACGTGATCGACTAACGCTTCGAAATGTTCCAGACTATTTGATATGAATTTGAAACGCCAGAACTCTTCATCTTGTAACATTGGAAGCTGGAAAATAATTTTAATTATGAATTTCCATAGTCAAACTTTTTACTTCAAAACAAAAATTATCTTCACAAGATTAACGGGCTTTTTTAATTTAAAAATATTGTATGAAGCTACTTACATCTTCATTAATTAATGTTTTATTTATATTGTTAACAATGACATCGATGAGTTTGTTACAATCACAACTCTCACATAGATCCTGCCAGCTCTCATCACTTTGAAATATTAAATCTTCCGGTTGTATGTCATCTATCTATAAAGAAAAGTCAAATTAATTTATCAGACTGATTCAGGGTTAAATTTGTCACGAGTCAATTCTATTGTCACCTCGTTTAGTGTAAAACTGAACCAATTTTAACGAGGTGATATAATTTGATTCATAATTTCCCTGAATGTTGCAGTTAGTTATGATTTTTAACTAACAATTAGTTATTTTTACTTACAGCTTGTACGCTAACTTTACTATCTTCAACAGCTTTGACAAGATAGTCCTCCTTGATGATTTCTTTTAAACTTTTCGTAAGATCAAAGCTTTTATTAAAGTAACTCTTGAGTGGAACCTTCACGTCCAGTCTGTGAGATACTGCTCTCTGCAAGTCTTTTAAATATGTAACCTGTTTTATACCGTCTACTTCTTGTAAGTGAGGTAACTCCGCGCGTAATAATTTCAGCGTTTGTGCTGCGACTTTTGCAAATCTGGAAAGTGTTGATGTTATAAAGTGATTGTTCTCACGTTTTTATATTTTACACTTCAATAAGTGCTAGAATGGGCGTTGATTATATTTGAATTTTTGAAGCGTCAATAGACTAAAGGTTAAGGGTACGGATTTCCGATCACAATGTCTAGGGTTGGAATCCCGCCATTCGACTATTGCCGTAAACCATATCCTAACACAAGCGTAGAGTTAGTTAGAAGAAATATTAGTAAATTAACAAAATCTGCTAATTGAACAAAATTTCTCAGTCTTAAAGATATAGTATATGACAAATTTTGTAAAATAGATGGTAGATTATATTAAGATAATTGGGAACTTACAAGGTAGCATTTCCAAAGGCATTCTTAGTAACATTGTGTGTGAGACACTGCGATATCTTTGTAGTGGGTGACATTATATCTTCCAGAAGATGTTGCTTCACCAGCTCCAGGAACTCGTTCATAGACTTGTTAAGTTCGAATTTTGTATAGTTTCGAAATGAAATTAACTGAAAATAAACAAAGTTTCGACTAACTCAATCTTCGGTCAAAGAAACTGTTACCCAGAAGCCTTTGATAAAAAAAAATAGTAAATCCCCTTAACGACTGAATGAAGTCTCTACGATTTTGTGACTTTGAAGTAAGTTTCGTGTTTATTTGTTTAGAATCTTCTCTGTTTATTCTAATTTGTATTTATCAAAAATCTCACCTCTTTTATGGCCATATCCCAATGAAAATCGTTCTTAAGTGTGTGGTAAACATTGGTCAAGTCCATGTCCTGCAAATGGCAGAGCAAGTTGTCGTACTCCTGCTTCTTGTACAGTTGGAGGTTCAGCTGTTTGAACCACGCCGTGAATTGAGAGCAAAGGGTACATTGGCTGGTGGAAATAACGATTATTATAAGAACAACTTGAGGAAAAAAAAGTTTGAAGGTTATTTTGTAAAATATTTATCTAAAAAGTGGAGTAGACAACACATTTTAACATAAATTAGATTTATTGACAAAGTTTGTTGAGTTTATGCCCATCTGTTTGGTATACAAGGAGTTTGCATTCTGCCAAAGAGATGGCATACTGCGCAAGACCTTTGCCTTTTTATTAAAGAAAAAATATAGTTGCAACACAGTAGAGAATCACGCGGGAACAAACAGATGTAGTCGCGAATAGGGCTTGATGAATTTATTAACATAAATATTGTATACAGTTTTATTATAAGCATGTTACGGAAGATCTTACCTGTTATTTAGCAACAATGTGCCCGCATCAACCATATTTGCTAAAATTCCAAAAGACGCTTTGGTGAGCGTTTCCGTAGAGAGCAACGCAACGGCTGATGATCTGAACCTCTTCAGTTTATCCTCGGTCACCCAACCCGGTGCTTGTGGGGGGCTCGGCCCTTTTATTATTTTATCTAAATTGGATTCCATTCTTGATATATCTATATCTACAGCTGTATAGTTCACGTCTGTTGATATTTTTAAACTGCTGTCAAATATCTGAAAATATAACATGTAATTAAATTATTTGAAAAAAAAAATGAATGAATAATTTACTTAGATTGCTAATATTGTGTAATGCAAGAAATATTTTTACTGCATTATTAATATTACTAATTTACCAAAATAAAAATACCTGAGAAGCAAAGCGTAGCGGCATCAATTCTTTGATCAGTTCTGTGGTGTCTTCTAAGCAGAACTGTTGCTTGAAGCTGGCCAGCGCGCCACTGCGATCCGGGATGTACTCGGACAAAGACGTATTGGATTTGCAGAAGTCTTCCTTGCTGTTCACATTGATCTCTCGGATCAGACGCACCCACTGGAATAGTTTGTTGTAAATTATACTGTTTATATATTATATAATACGTACATTTTAAACATTGTCACTTCGAAAGATAACATTTTTTTTTATATCAAAAAGTGGCAAACGAGCGAGCGGCCACCTGAAATCGCTGAAATAGCGAAGTGACTGCTGCCCATAGACATACGCAATTGCATATGCGTTGCCTACCTTTAATCGACGGAGGAGAGGATGCACAGAAATAAAATATCTTCCCTTTCCATGCATCCTGTCATCCGGAAAGTCGAGCGGGCGGGCCGGGCCGATTCGTGCGAAGTGCGCTATTAAAGCGGGCTCTACCACTGTTTTCTAAGCTAGTTCAAATTAGTGGCCGTAGGTACCACTTTTTTGGCTTTACAGTCTTTTAAAAACACTTAAATAACGTAATAACTTACTCGTATTTTATCCAAATTGTTCAAAATATCATCAGCTACGTCAAAAATTTTCTCTACGTTATTCAAGAACGTGGTAGCAAATGGTCCATTGTATAGCTCCCTTAGTTGTTTCCACCAATTGCCTCCGGACAAGAAGGTAAGGATAATGACTTGATGCTGCACGTTATTGTGTAAATACTTCAGATACACTGGTATACCAAGGTCGTACGAGTATTTTGTGGATAATTTCCAAGACTTTATTATTTCTTCTCTGAAAAAAAATAGTTGTTACAAGGGAAACTATGTGAATCTTTCTATAGTTTTTATAAATGTACATTTAAAATATTCAATTGTTACGAAAATATTATTTGAAATGAAATAAATTTTATTAACCGTGGGTTTCTGAATTGAAAATCACAGTTTAAAGCATATTGTCATCCCTGTCATTATCTTTGACATGTTTGAGATATCAATATGTTTTTAACGGAGATGTATGTCTCAGAAACTCATGGTAAGTGCATTTATTTTTGTTCGCTTTTAATTTAATATGCAAAGAATTGCTAGCTACATTTAATGTGAATTATAAAAAACTGTACCTTGATTTCAGGAACTTAGAAATATCATCGACGTTCTCTCCATCTTTACGTAGTACATTAACGAGGTGACGTAGACTCAGTCTTGCGTTTTCTAAATCATTTTCTGTATTTATCATAGAAAATATTACATCATAGTTCATTTGACATATTTGTGTTTTTACTTTATCATTTTCAATTAATATATCTTTAGTTATATCGTTGTTTTTAAAACGATTGCATGTTTCTATAAAAGCTTCTGTTAAGTTATTTTCTTCGTTACTCAATACATAATTTGTAATCGTATCGAAAAATACTGCAATACTATCCGTTGGCTTTCTTTTGAATAGTTTTTTAAATGTTGATATATCATCTTGTATTGTTTTCAGTTTGTCTTCGTCTACTTTAAGAACTTGAACACTTACATTATCTATTTTATTTAATACCTTATTAATTACTGTAACTATTCTAGTTAAATATGTTGAGGATATCAGTAATTTCTTGTTTGCTTCATTAAACATACGATAAAATGTGTTTGATGTATTTATTTTATAATTAATCATTATATCAATAGATTTTATAAGTTTTTCTCTCATTGTATCAATGTTAATGTTTTCTTTGATATTACTTTTATTGTGAGCAAGTTCTGACATGAAAGTCGATAATGCATTTGCCTTGTTATACGCACTTTCAAAGGTACTGTTCAAATCATCTGCAGCAGATGTAAAGAAATAGTATTGCTGGAAAAGAATATCATTTTTATACCCAACGTTGATTTCAAAGGTTACTTTTAAAGGTAGAATTACATTGCTGTCTAACTGAGACTACAATATTTAATAATACAAGGGTCATAACAATGGAGTACGACGGTTAGAATGTTAATGATCGACACTATAAATATCGAGGAAAATAAGTAGTAATTACTCACAGGTTTGGCTACTACATCCACGATAACGTTATCTCCTCTAGGCAGTGAGATCCAGTAGAGGAAGGAAGGGCATACGAACGGCTGGACTAGGGCGATCATGTCTTGGTCAACGGGCCCGCCTGGCGCCGGCACTAGGCTCTTCACGACGGCCTCGCAATCCCAAAAAGTGCTCTGTGTTGCTCGTCGAATCTGAAATTGTGAGAATTTTATTTTATAAGCCTGTTATACTAAATTGTTTTGCTTTTGCAGTTTGTTCTACAAATTATTACGATAATGGTAGATAACTCCATCATTACCTGGTTCATGAAGCCGAAATCAAGGAATGAGTTAGCCAGCACTCCGATAAAGTCCGGCAACCTTTCATATAGCAGGTACAGACTCGTTTTCTTTGTAAAGCCGATCAGCTGCAGTAAATTTACGTCCGGTTCTGAAAATTTTGATAATAGATTTTTAATTATATTAAAAATAACTAATGTCTATTAAGAATTCGTTGTAAATAAAATATTTCGTCAATTTAATTTGACAAATAGAGATAAAAATTTAAATAATTGAATAAGATATGCCTAATTTATGATTTAATTTTATAACCCTTAACTCTGCGGAGTAGGCAAAGAGTACAGACTTAATTTAGCATAATCAGCCGCAATTTTAACAATTCTTACCATTGATCTCTTTAAAATAAGACAACAGGTCATCAGCGACGTTGCTGACGGTCAGCGACAGGAACTTGAAAATGTTAAGAACAGTGGTGCGAGCGAGGTCGCTGCAATCGCCCTCACAGCTCAACAAGGACCGCCACAAGGTCGCCAAAGGAGTGCCGGACTTCACTGGCGCTTGGATTGAGTTCAAAACGACGTCCATCTTGGTGAACACATTCCTGGGAATTTTTTTTTTATTTAATGCCAAAATACACAGCAAGTAATTTCTAAAACAATGCAATTTTTACATGTAATTTTACTTAAGCTTAGAAATACTTGAATAACACTAATTATTTGTTAATATTAAAGCACAAAACAATACTGACTGTACACTTATAGCACATAAGGGATATATACGAATCAAATGCTTGTAAAAATCGGTTTGGTCGTTTAAGCTACTTGTGGCTATAATGAAAGTAACAAACTTTAATTTACCTTAAAATAGGAACACTTTGCATAGTATTTAACACATTGACAGCATGTCGCCAGGCTGTCATCAATGTGACGCGATCAGTTGGCTCGTCAAGTGCATCCAGCAAAATATATTTGATAATATAAAAGTCTTCTATAAAAGAATCAAATGCTCCCGAAAACCGTAGAAAGATGTGCGGACCAAAATCTTTGCTGTTCAAATTTGACTTCTGAAAACAAAATAGTTGATAGTAACTACTGATCAATTTTTAAATTTGCTATTTTATCATGGTTTACTTACGTTTCTAAAAATATATTTAGATTTTAAATATAAATTCCATTCGTCCAGTGTACTTTGGGATATGCACAGCAAGCTTTCTATGCCTTTCACAGTTCCTTTGGAAGAGGTGGTCAAGTTCAGAATGTCGCCCAAACTAGTGTCGGAGCACGGCCAAGATTTGTTTCCGTTCATTATTTCTATTATTGGTTCTATCTGTAAAAGAAAATTATAGTTAAAACTGTACGCAAAAACCTAAGTAAACATTTCTATCGTTGAAACCACTGTTCAAAAAAAAAATTGGTACTTCGTTATATTTTATTTTTGTTTGTTTGTATCTCACCTTGGTGTCATCTCTGGCCACCAGGTCGACTGTCTCGTGCAGCAGCTGCGGGAAGTCAGGAATGACTCGCCTCAAGCTGGCCACCGTGTCTGACGGTAAGGGGGATGTGATTGTTTCGTTCTTTAATATTGCTGGAAGACCACAAAAAAGCGTTACTTTAAAAAATCTATGAAGTAGTTAATTGGATTAAACTTTCTTAATATCAATCTTAAGCATCAATAATTGTGTTATTGTTATAACGTCTGTTTGTGATAAATACCTTGAACTAACTTGACAACATCATCAGCGAGCAACATTGGGCCTGTCACCACGCCGAGGCCGTATTTAAACTGTAGCCAAACATCGCTCGTTATATCGAAGATATCACGGTCCATAAGATCTAGGATTTCAAACGCCAGTTTCATACTGAAAATTAATTACAAATGGTTATAGTCGACCAATCACAATTAATTTGGATAATAATAAGTTTGGGTAAAGCTGATTGGTTAAGATAAATCCAATCGTCATTTGTTATTTTGACGTGTACATTTATTTCATAAATTCCCAAATAGGTAACTGTGCGTTATCCAATCACAAAAGAATGAATGTCAGACGTTTATTACTTGTACGTGACTTTTGGAAGATTAAAAATATATACATTATAATAAGTCTCAATAAGCAACTGTCCAATCACAGTAGGTGTGTGTTTACCTTTAAAAAGATATGACTAGTTTTTATTAAGTTAACGTAAGAACAAATATTTATTTCTAATTCTTAATTTCTCAACATTTTTAATTTTCTAATATACAAAATGATTGCAAGTAAATTATCTTGATTGAAAATTCATAATGAAAATTTAGTCCGAAGCAAACGAATATTTCCCAGTTCTGTAGTAAATTGGAACTAAGTTGGGATCCGAGAGTGCGATATTTATATTTCTCAGTTGAACAATATAGTCTTTCAATTCAACGTAGCTATTAATAAAATATAATCTTGCTAAATAACTAACCACAACAAAATAAATGAATTAATTAATACTATATTAAATAAACTATATACTAAAACGTAACCAAACTAAAAATAAAACTAAATAATATAAAAAATCAACCCCAAATCACTGCGCTCACACGGTAGGGTTCACAAGAGGCTGGCGGCATTTCCTCGTTGGATGGCCAGAATGAACTAGATGGATTCTTATATAACTGTTTGTTCACATATTTTCGTTTTTACCTTAAACTCATACTCCAATTTTGTGGACTGAACCAAAATGCCTTGACTTGTTTTATCATTTTCGCAACATTATGACGCATCTCTTTGTTCATTCCATAACTTTTATATTCAAGTAAATATGGATAGAATTTATCTATCTTCTTGTACAGATTCCTTAAACCTTTTATGAGTTTCGTCCATTGGATTCCAGATGTCTTTTCACCTCCTATCATTATTAATTTTATCTAGAACATAAATTTAGTCATATATGAGAATTCACTAATTATTCTGTGAAAAACATCTAGTTACAATATCAATTTATTTAAAAAATACTAACTGCTTTGCCCAAATTTGAATCACGCTTCAATACATTTTCGAACACTTCGCTGATGTTACATAGAGTTGATACAACCTCTTCTTTGTTTACGTTTGGAGGAAACTCTAGATACTTCGAAGCGGTAACAACTCCTTTACACGTTGAATCTAGACTGAAAGTTGTCAGCAACTTGAACAGCTGAAACAGATATAAAAGACATCAATACGCTAATATTTAATAAGATCAACATTTTTGTTATGTTTGTCAAACATTTATTTAACACTAGCTGTTGCCCGCGACTCCGTCCGCACGGAATTAAAAAAAATAGTAGCCTATGTGTTCTTCCAGGATACATCTTTGCCAAATTTCAGCGAGATTCATGCAGCTGTTTTGGAGATATCTTCTAACAAACATCCATCCATTTAAACATTCGTAGTTATAATATTAGTAAGATAAATTAAAAAACAGTATCTTACTACCTTCTGTTGGTGTAGTGCAGTAGACAATATAGTTGTAAGTACAGCTGGGTATAAAGCTTTAGCTTTCTCCGCGACCTGTAGCGGCGTGTTGTCTATATCTTTGTTCAAAGCGTCTACTATCGTTGTAGCGTCTATTAGGAATGGCGCTATTTTGTATTCTAACACAGGATTCTGTTTGACCACTGCTTTGGCGAGTGCTCCGTGAACTGTCACTCTGGAAAATAGAATGTTTTTTCTCGGATAAAATCGGTTTGCGAATATCTATTGATTGAATTATAAATGAAACGTGAAACGTGGAATTTACATAATATTTAGTAACAACTAAAGCCTGAACTGATATATAAACTTCAACAACAACACCACCGACGCTTTGGTATCAACATCGTCAACGACGCCGGCGCAACCCGCGCCCCCCGCCCCCTCAAGACGCGCCCTAAGAGCGCAGGCGCGCAGTGAGCTGAGGGCCGCGTCCGCGAAATAATACCAGTACCACTCACCCTGATGAAGAGCCCCCGATGGGCTCGAAACTAGTCGGTGCCGCCACCGGACGAATATACGTGAGTGTTTAGCCGTTTTTATATCAGTTTAGTATAATGTCTCACGAAAGTTTGAATAATTTAACTATAACCTGTTAATTATTGATAATTTATCTTTCTAAATGACAATAGAATTTTTAAAATCGATCCAATTGTTTCGTCAAACCTTTCTTCTATATACTATTGGTATAGATATATGTAAGAGAAACGATTTAATTTAGCTTGTTTAAGAAAGAATTGAACAAACAACAAATTCAATTATAAATGTTTGTGTCTTACAAGATATGATTCCCAACATGTCTTTTATCACGAATTATATTAATTATATCTGAATTTGTATTGTCATCTACAACATTTCTCCAATTAACATGTCTCGGTTCTTCGACATCCAAATGATTAATAGTTCGACTAAAATTCCTGAGAACGTTGAAATCATGATCTATAGAATAAAGTTGAGAATTTGTGTCTTTTCCTAAAGTTTCTTGAATAAAAAGTGACGCCATCGAGTTGATCTGAAAAGATAAATAAAATTAAAACCCCAATTGCTTCATATGGGTCTTGTTAGATCTCAAGGCGAGTAATATTAGCTTTTTATAGGAAGATAAGTTAGTCATAATATTGCTTTTATCTTTACTTACACTGCTCCTGACGCTGAGGATTCCTAAAGAATGTATCATATCTTTGAGATATTCCTTCAGCGAGTCTGTACACAGCTGGTTATGTAACTCGGCTACTTCTGCTACGTCTATCTCGAAGAACTTCTGTAACTTTCTTTTATCACAGAATACGTCACCAGGGGAGTCTAATTTTGATGTTAAAATCTAGAAATAATTACAATAGATAAATGAAATATGGATATATTTCGTCGGGGAGACATAAATAAGTTTTGTCTCCTTCATACAATCCTAGGGAGTAGAAATAAATAAAAATTGTTTAAAATAATTCGCAGAATTCCCACCTGAGCTCTTTCTGGATCAGATAAAGCTTCTAAGCTCTTTTCAAACATATTCACAGGCAGCGACAGCACCGCACTCATCCCCTGCGGATGTCGCAGCGAGACATTATACATTAATTCTTCTAAATGCACATTGATGTAGATCACTTTCTCCGCCTCCTCGATCAGTTTCGTCATCAGAGTGGAGTAGAATAACACATCATGCTTCTTGTTATCCGGCAGCCATTTGTAAATGAAATTCGTAATACGAGACAATCTGTAAAGATCGATGTAATGTTGAGTTAACAGCAAACTTATTCTGTTATTCTATATTTTTCGCAACACAATGAATGGAAACAATTTTATTAAATAATAGGGTTGATATAAAAAGTCTAATTATTTATTTACAATGTTCTCTAGCTTGTTCCGAATGCTTTGGAACTTAATGAATGTTTTTTTTGTGTAATGAAGCATTTTGTAAATACTTACACATTAAATACGTCAATAGAAACACCGTTGTCAGCTAAATCTTCGAAAGCTTCTTTAGCATTAGAAAATATATTGGACACTCCATTCACAGTTGATTTTAACTTATTTTCTCCCTTTTCACTGTAATTTGATAGTTTATCAATAGTTCTAAAAGATTTCATTCTCTGCTTTTCTAAGAATTTATTCAAAAACTTTACAACCATTGCCGATGAATCTGCGAAGTCTCTGATAAATTTGTAAGACTGTGTGTCCCCGAAATTCGGTTCGAAGTAATCAAGGATGTTGGAAATGCTGAAAAATTCAATTTCGTATTACAAAAAAAAATTAACTATCACTTTTCTTAAATATCCTCTTATATCATCATAAAAGGGGTTCAAAAATCTCGAAAATTCGAAATAAGGTGTTTATTGACAAATATAAATTTATTTAGTAATAAATATCTAGCAGACAAGGATTTGCTGTATTAAATAAAGATAATTTCTTAAATAATACTAACACATCGAGCTGTATGTACGTAAAGTCAGGAGTCTCATTGTGCAGGATCTCAGTGATCTCCGGCGGCAGGAAGCTTTGTAGCGACGCCATGCGCAGCACCGCGCCAGCCATCTTCCCCAAATCTAACATCCTCTCGTCTTTCGTCAACTTGTAGTACATGTTACCTAACTGTTGGGATAACATGCACGTTAACTAACAAGTTAATTTAAAATATTGTGTTAACTATTATCATCACGTATCATATTCATCATCTGGGGATTAACTTTGCGGCAGAAATTCTGATGATCTCTTCCAAATCAATTAAGACGTCAAGGCTATAAGGAATCTAAGGTCACAATACAATTAGTAATATCGTTGCAATCATTTCTAGAATAAATGTCTTACGTACCATCTGTAAATATTTGCCTAAATCTATCTCTAGTAATAAGTCCATAGTCAATTTTTGCATGCTTGATGATGAAAGTGAACAAATCTTCTGCACAAATATCTCCATGTTATTTTTATCCATTTTTATTGTTTTTATCATCGAGTCTATGTCACATATGTTAAATTTTCCTTGTAGAATCTGTAATTGGATAGTTAGACAAAACGTTTACAATCATGGTATAATGGTTTTACAATTGCGCCATTGATTATTTTATATAGATTTGTGCATCAACATATTATATAATAAGAGAGCTTATACAATTCTTCTTAAGTATAATACAGTTTATTTACTTACGCCCTCAAAGCTTAATGCTGAATCCATCAAACTGTTAGTGAGCGGTTCCTCAAGTTCTATTTCTTTTTGCAAATATCGCTTAACTCTGTCAGGATTCCGGAACAGTTCTTTTACGCGTAGACCATGTTCTGAAATGAATGACGAAAGCTTTACAAGGATCTTTTATAATCATTGAAATCTAGATTACGTCTAATGTTAGAGTCTGATGATAAACTTTGCAGATTTTCTACATTCCAACGAAGTTTCATTAGTCTAGAACAAATTACTAACTGGCTATATAGACAAAGTTGGGCACATCTGCGACGTCTGACAGCGTAGCGAGTAGTTTGAGCGCGTCTGGCATCGACGACGCTGTTCCCAGCAGCGAGGAGTTGGAGAACAACGGTGCAAACTGCTGCTTTATTTGTGTCAACCTGTTATCAAACAGTTTTTGTGGTAACAGCATAATTAAAACGATACCTAAAAATTAGTGTCTAAAATATCTACGTCATTGATCTGTTATAGACAGATAAAAAATAAACAGGAGATCAGACTGTTTTTTTTGATAATCCGAGCTTTTGGCTATTTGGATGTTGAAATAATCTTGTTGTTATTAACTTACTTCGATTTAGAATACGAAGGTATTTCCTCGTATTCGTCCATTGGAGAGCATTCGTTGTTGACGCTGCAAATAAAGGACTGCAGGAAAGTCATGACTCCAGCACTGGGCAGCGCGCGAGCAGGAAACTGACCTGCGTACAACATTTTGTGAATGTTTACTTGAAACTGTGCTCAACTGTCGGTTCGAAAGACTGGTACTAAAAACTATGAGTTACCGTTTATCAAATCTAAAATCGTCTATCAAATATATGATGCTATTGTGGTAATATTGTCCCAACTGAATAAACTACTTTTCTAATTCTTCTTTACTTTGATGTTAACAAACAATTTTATTGACATGCTATTAAAGGTGATTACTTGTATTAAAACTTTGTAAATACTTACACGTGGGATAATCTTGGTTGTCAACGTTGATCCTGACGATGTACAGACTCATTACGACGACAGTGCCCCATACAACGCCCGCCAGTGTTATCTGCAAAGTTAATTGCCTGTCAACAAAGTCAACAATGTACCGTACTAATCCTTTTAAAGTTTCGGTGAATCTCCTGCCACAACATTCATTTCTTCTTTAAGTTGCGACCTAATCTTTAGTAGCTATATGTAGTAAACATACAGCTCCGCCAGGTCTTCGGGAGTCCCCAGGGCTTACCTGGACCAGTTTGGGAATCAAACTTATAAGTACTTTTCAAGGAAAAAACTATGGAGTGATGTTACAGGATCGCACCAAAAATCCTTAGCCTACGTCTCTAGGTCACGGTCCAGAGTGTTTATGATGAGAATTATTTTTATGAATTTTGGTTGATCAGTGGTAACAAAATCTTACCGGATTTCTTTTCCTAATGAGATAGTCCTTCCACAGCAGCAGCCGAAGTTGTCGGCTCGCTGCCATCTTGTTACTTGTATAATTATTGCCACCATCACTGTAAACAAAATAAACACTTAATGTAGGAATATACATACATAAAATACAACGTGCTCGCATGCTTTCGCTTCAGCGCTAAAACTCATACTCGATTCTAATACTTGTTTTTTTCTTTACAAATTTTCCATTGATTTTTTCCTTTTACAATACGTTACGTACTGGCAAGTAACTTGTAACAAAGCGTTTCTCACATTTCTTTTTTGTTTATTGTGTGTACAGCAAATACGTAGAAGTGTGTTGCGATTTGTTTTTTGTCCGATTGTGATAAGGATATGAGCAAAGGGAATAAGCAAATGGTTAAGTCCACCTTATAACTTAACTAAGGTCCTCCGTAAACTTAACATAGTAATACTTTTGGTATCCAGAAATACAAGATACGATATTTTATTATCTAGAGCTATTCTACTTTTATGACTTGTAAACGTAGAGTTCCACTGCAGGAATACTTGAAATGTCTTACATGTCGTTTGCTCTGTTTTCTCAAAGAAAATGAGCGGGATGACAATTAATGTCTACAAAAGTGTTAAGACAAAGAAAACATACTGTAACCTTCAAAATGAAAGGCATAGTTTATGTTTGGTTAACATTGTAAAAACCAATGATGTTAACAGCGTTAATTGTACAATGGTTACAGTACCAGAGTGTCGAATAATATTATGAACGTAGCCAAATATTGTGATAAGTGAACGTGCGCGTATTATCAGAGTTTATCAAAGTACTACGTGTTAGTACAACATTACAAGTAACTACGAAAGGTCAGAGTACAAACATTTATAAGGAAAATATACAAAAAACGCTTTCAATCAAACTGATATAGACAAACAATCAATACTAGAAGAGTAATAAATTAAATTCTGATAGCAAATTGCGCTAATTTTAAAATACTTTTAGTAATTAAAAGAAAATCAGGATAAGGGAGTTCATGATAGATATGTAGTGCATAAATCTATTAATAAAAGTATTCCTTTCTTCCTAACATTTCCAGATTTAATGATATTTTACCTAATCTTCATAGAGTTTAATTTCAGTTGTTAAATGCATTACGATTAAATAATAATCAGTTGCAACTTCAAGAATGTTTCGTCATTTCCTGATCTCAGTAAGACGCATCTGACATTTTGTACACTACTGAGTCATTTAAAATTGAATTACTATAATTGTCGAGTCACTTTATGTTCTAGTTATGTAGTTGTAAATTAAAAAATATATAGAATTGTAAGACAAGAAAGTAAATATAATCTTTGTAAGCTTGGGTTTTTACTGTTTGTATGTACAAAAACATATTAGGGGCCTGCAAGAAAAGAGCGTACACCTTTCTTAAAGCCCGGCAACGCATCTGTAGTTCCTCTGGCGTTGCGGATGTCTATGGGCGTCGGATCAAATTTACCATAAAAACCTGTTAACCGCGTGTATATAGTCAAGGGCGCTATGACTATTTCTCTTTCCTAGTAGTCGCCATGGGTCGGTAGTCGACCGTGATAAAAGAAATTTTTAATTTTTAATTGAAAAAAGGTTTTAGCGCATCTTCTCATTTACTTTACCCGTGTCAAATTTAAAGATTTTTTTTAATAAATGATGCAAAGTTTTCGCTTATAACTTAATATCCTTTAAGTTAAAAGATTAAACTTGATCTGCTAACCTTTATAAACTTAATCTTTGTTACATCGTATCCTTGATCTTTGACAGTAATTAGTGTAAAGTTTAATAGCTTTTCAATTTATTATAATAACATAATGCTTAATGGATTGCATATTCTAAAATTACTGATATATCGCAATTTTCCTCAAATGTTATTGCAGGCAGAATGTTTTATCCTGTGACTCAGTCATCTCATTAAAAAAAAACTAGTAATAAATATAACCTATGTCATCCAGAATAGTCAAGCGTCCCAATAGTCAAAGAATTTTTCATATCGATTTAGTAGTTTCCATTCAAAATGCAAACAAACAAACAAATCTTTCCTCTTTATATTATACTATTAGTATAGACAAGAAGCAAATCGGATATATCTTATTTCTCGATCCGTGTTAATTTCAAAAATCTTATTTATGATCTTCTCGATGATTTATTTTAATTTTTTACATATGTATATTAGCATAAATAACACTGCTGTATATTTTTTTTATTTCTTATATAATATTAACTTAAATATTATGTTATTAACTTACAAAATATATATTTAAAATGTTATAACTTTGTTTAATTCAACACTTTGTATTGTTTTGTAAGGAATCATTTCTACGTGACTTTATACATACGTTCTCCGCTATTTTATAATAAATATCTTAATAAAACGTGTCATTAAGTATAATTGACTTTCTGACGTGCTTACCCACCTCGCAGTTAACTTGACTATTTTAACAACGTAACTTAGTTTAAGTTACTACAGTGAATTAACATTTTATAGTTTTGTTTTTAAAAAATTAAAAGTGGATCAGTGGGTGAGTCCTTGAATATAATTTTTAACAAATTAAGTTAACTGCGTATTTTTGCAGAGTAACTTATTTTTTTAACGGATTAAAATTTAACTAAAACAAATTACATAGGAGTTTAAAAAAATGTTACTTGCTTCCAGAATTTATGACTAAATGACAAAGTGCGGTAAAATAATATCAAAGTCATGACCACTTCTAGCATTTTCGACTCCGTCGGCGAAATTTTTGTGGCGCCCCCTTTCTTGGTGTCCGGGGAAAAATCTTCCTAACATAGGGTATCTTAGGGGGCGCCACTCTCGCCCTTTGTATTGGACTTTGACGTCCCCTTATGCACGGCACGCTTGACGGTCGTCCCACCTCGACCTACTCTAAAACCACTACAGAACAAAATATTGTAGATATAAAACATATTAAAAAAAAACATAATTAGTAGCCTATGTGTTCGTATAGACTATGTTCTATACTTATGCCGAATTTTATCGTGATCCGTTTAGCCGTTCTGGAGATAACTTCAAACAAGCATCCATAAATGTAAACATACGTATTTATAATATTAGTAAGATTGTGTAATTTATTCAGACTATTATGTAAATGACCTTGAATTATAAATTATTATATTCTAAAATTTAAACAGATTATCGCAATTTCCCTCATATTTCCTGATGCTTTTTTTTGTGGAAAGTTTAAAAGCTCTTCACAATTCAAGGTACGCATACATATATATATGTAAATACTCTTTTAAATGATGCAAAATATTTCCGTATTATATTTTTTATATTTATAGTTTGAGTTAAATGAGTTAGCGGAAAGTAACACGTCCTTAAAATATTCACGGAAAGACATATTACTATTTCTTATATAAATGACGAGTAAGATATTGCCTTCCTTATTTTTGTATGTTTGTTGTAATAAGGTCTATATGTCATAACATCACGTGAACGAGGCTAAAATATAAACGACGTGACAACGAATAACACATAATTTGTGTCATTCTTACTATCCTTCCGGTACCAACCTGTTTTTTGATTTTCGATTTACATATGTACCACTTATCCCACCTTCTTAGGGTGAAGGAATACAGTCCATCACCGTCGACTGAGGGCTACCTCCCCCCCGAGAGGGAGCTGCCTCGCCAGATGACGCAGACGGGGCCGCGGAGGAGAGCAAAAGCGTGCCCGTGGCCCCGTCGGTTGGAGGATGCGTTGGAGGAACAGAGGTTTAGTGGGTATGCCTCCGATGTGGAGAAGGGTGAAGGAATACGTCGTGATGCAACATGCAAATACCTGCGTGGAAATTCAAAGATATGTATGAAGTCAACCCGCACTGGGCCAGCGTGGTTGACTATAACCTAGTTACCCCTAGTAGGCTCCGAGCCTTTGAGATGATTATGATTACTTTCCTTCTTTCTTTAGTAATGAAATACAGCTTCTTATATTCCGATCGCATCGCTTCGTCACGACAGACACTCGCAATAAATAACTAGCAGTGCGCAGAATGTCATCCTTATCGTGTTAATATAGTACTGGTTTATATCATCTTATTAAAGCAGGCAGTAATTTCAGACAATTTGCATTAAGCCTTGAAGAAATTATTAAGCGTGAAGTAAAGTAATCTATGAGATAAATGAATCACTTCTAGTATATTGAAAAAATGTATCTTCACTTGGATACTTAAGGAAATTAAAATTTTAACTTGTTACCACAGTCGAAGACGTTAATTTCCTACCCTTTTACATGGTAAATTTTGACACAAAAAATTAGCTCGAAAACTTGTCAAAGCAAACAATGAATAGCGACATTAGATCCTAAGTGGGAAGTAAATTTAATTCTTTGACTATGCACAAACGTGATAATTCATTGCAACTGTAATCAAATTAAACTCATTGCAATTTTCGACGATTGGATTTTAATGATAGTTCGTGATGGAATTTTTCGGATGACAGCACAGCACATCCCGCGTGACTGGCAAAGCTCATACGAATTATCGTTTCGACTGTCGAAGGACAATTAACCATCTCACTCATACACTTTGAAGAAAACAAAGACAGCAATACGTGTCAATACATGTGTCTCAACAATTTCACGGTTATACCTGTCTGCACAGTTTCCAGTCATTGTAATATTCATGTGGACAGGAAGTTTGATTGTGTTTGAACCAAAATTAGTTGCTCCTAGTCTGTTCATTTTGGCATACTGTAACTGTCAACAATCAACATGAATGTTGAACGAAATGTATTAGTAATTTTAGTTTTTATAAGTATAGTTTCGAGAACAATATCTTATATACAAAATTCTCGTGTCACAATTTTCTTTCCCATACTCCTCCGAAACGGCTTGACCGATTCTCATGAAATTTTGTGAGCATATTGAGTAGGTCTGAGAATCGGCCAACATCTATCTTATAATCCCGCGCGGACGTAGTCGCGGGCGACAGCTAGTGTATTATAAAATTGAATTTATGATTTGAAAATGTTACTTTTTTTCAGTGCACAAGCAACATAATAATGAAGTTAGGCGTTTTTGCAATAAAAAAGATAATTACCTTAAGAAATAATTAAGAGTAG